GTTCATTGGCCCATGATACCGGAAACGCAGAGAATATAGGACAGATGGTAATAAATATTACTTTATATTATAATATTAGAACGTGCAACTTTTGGAAATGGCAACAAGGCATTATTTGTTACAAAATTTCTAAGGAACATTTTAAAATCATTTTCAGGTCGTTTCCTTGTGTACGCTACGAAACTGAAAGATAAGCGGCCTATCTGTTGTATTTGGTGTTTCTGATCTATGACCATTCTCTCTTATTTAGGCACGAAACGTACATGTGAATCGCTATATTACCGTGTCCCCCCAGAAAATAAGACTTAGCCTGAATTTTAAAAATGATTTTAATATAAGCCCTCCCCTTAAAGTAGGACCTAGTCAATAACGCGAGATTTTTTTTATCTCTCCCACACGTTTTAAATGATCGATAATCTATGTTTTGCAGTTGTTTTGAATAAAAACGTATTATTTATAAGTAAATGGATATCGATTTTCATATTTTGCATATATATCTGAAAATCTCGTAATTCTCTACTTTTTAATTTTCTTTTTGATAAATAAAAATATAAGAAATCCCCCGAAAATAAGCCTTAGTGTTATTTTTCGGGAAAAAATTGAGAAAAGACCCAATTTTATTTTCGGGGTAACACGGTATTATGTTGTTGTTATTTTTGAACTACACGAAATGTACATATAATTCGTTTTGTTACTGAACACGGACCTATGGATCGTTTTGTTATTATGCTGTTGTTGTTTTTCATTGTATAATTTTTCTTCCTATTTTATGCTTTCCCCTTTAATTACTGGACCAATCGCTTTATAATTTGCTATTGGCGATAAAACTATTTGTATCCTTAAAAAGTCGGTTTGTATTTAGGAAACGATGTACATGAGGGGACCCCCAAGTTGTCACCGCGAGCCAAAATACACAGCAGAATGAAATCGGAGAGCCAGAAAGGGGAGCGACAAAAAGTGCGCGACGGCACGGCCAGGGTTCAGGGCGCGCTCAAGCGCGCTAAGAAAATTTTTGAGAAATACGCCCCAAAATAGGCTCTAAGCTTGATTTTAGAAACATCTAACATCGCAGTTTTTATGTAATAAAATTAATATTTATAATAGTTAGCTGATAGAATTTCCGAGACATAAATAACAAGCACGGCTTTCAATAAGTAATTTACAACTGATAGTGACTACAGACTTACGACGTTGTCCGTTCTCGAGACGCGGTGTAACCCGAATTTCAGGGTAAGTCGGAACATTATACTGTACAGTACATAAATTACTCTATACATATCGTACTGTATTGTAAATGGTACTGTAATTAGGGATGCCACTTTTGGATTTACGAATCGGATCGATTCGAATCGCATCTTTTCCGAATCGATTCGAATCAAATTTGCGCGATTCTAAAAAAGAGAGCGATTTACCGAAAAAAAAAATCAACGTTTGTTAATCGTTGTTTTCGGCTGTTTCAAATCTGCCGAATGCGTTTATGCGCACTCCAAATAACACCAAATTACAGGACGGAAATAAATGAAAATGGATTTTTCGTGGTTGACTTCTTTACTTATCTGCGTCATTTGTTTCAAGTTCGGCACAACAAACTCTTTTACGCATCACTCGAGATGATGTGTGGCGTAATTTCCACCAAACTGCGAGTTCAGTTTTGCACTGAATAGCCTAAATTTCTATTATGCGCGAATTTAAATGGATCGTATACCTGAAAATTCGTGACAATTTTGATGAAATTTTTCAACAGCACACCTGCGCCGCGACTAAGTTATTGTACGCCCTGACATGATTGGATAAAGAATCAGCTACCGACGTCTAGATGATATTCAATTTTGATTGAAATTTATTTAAACTTTGTTCTGAGTGAAATTCTTTGCGTACATTTGAAGACAACTATTACTGAATGTGTTAATCGGCCGGCAATGTTAATTGACAATCATGTTTCCCATCCTAAAATATATATTTATTTTGTTTGCGTTTGTCAGGCTGCCACTCGAGTGGCGATAAACGAAATCAGGGGAACATAATGTAATAGTACATATACGTCTTTCTTCTGCTGTTACAAAAAAAAGCAGTATTTACTTCAAATTTTCTTAGCGCGATACGAGCGGGAATAAAACATTTCGGATTATTTCTAGCAAATGTCATAACGGACAGGTGGGAGTAAATAATACTTTAGGAATGGCAACTTGTGCACTGTTTTACATCAACACGTGCTAGATTTCATACCAGACCAAACATACCGTGCGAATGTCGTCTTACTTTAGCACCAGCGACCATGTTTGATCGAGATACAGCGTCGACCAATTATCGCTCGTCAGCGCCGCGTTCATTATGCACATTTGGACTTTCTGAATTACGATTTTAAACGTAATCCACAATAAATAATGAAGCCCGAGTTACCCAATAACGCTGTTAGCCACAAATAATATCGTCTCTAATATTTATAGAAATTTTTGTTCGCAATCGTAGTCGGGTAAACGATTGTTTTTCTCGAAATTAATTTAATTTTATCGTGGTTAATTTTATCGTCTTCAAGCATATTTTTCAAGCATTTCCCATTTATAGTAATTCAGATGCAATTAGAATGTTTTTGTCGTATTACTCTATGCTGCTAGCATAAATATAAAATATTTGACTGAAATTTTGAAGATAAAAAATCGGTAATAAGGCCGGCCTTAATTCAATATAACAAGAAGTGAAATACCACAGACACATACACTGGTGTGGGACTAGGGAAAGCAGTGTTGTTGCTGTATTTATGACAAAACAGTACACCTGTTCCCTGCTTATTTTTTGATATGAATTCCATCAAATTGCCTCAGTCCTGATACATGTATAACACAATAACAACTCAGTATTGTAAGACTCACAGATAAGTTGCAACAGCAAGTTTTTCATCAATGCATTTATTGGTGATATCTATGACCTACATATTTTTTATCCTGATGGAAATAAGTGTGGCTCGCCACTGGCTCATTCAATGAAAAACCCTTATCATTCTTGCTATATAGCGCATTCCATTTTCGAGTTTTTCTCTTCTAGATTTGAGCTTTTTTGTGACTTTGAGCAAACAAACGCATACAATAAAAAAAAAAGCTTAATGAAATCAGATTAGGAAAGATTCGATTCGAAAAAAATGTATTCAGAAGTGGCAACCCTAACTGTAATAAAATGTACAAATGCAAAAAAAGTATTAAAAAAACAGAAAACAATTCCATATCACATGAATAAAAGCAAATACTGTATACAGTACAGTATTATCTTTTACATTTTTTGGAGTGCGTTCGTAACCTCGAAACAGCGTAGGTCGCGACCGTCGTAACCCGAGGACTCTCTGTAATGAAGTTACTTGCTCATCTAGCTTTCTAGCATACGGCATCGTATGAATGGCTACTTATGGCTTGTTTTGTTACGCAAAAAACATCCCAATGTGTATATACAGTATATCTAAAAAAATCTAAATGCCAACATTATTTAGTTTAGTTAACATAGTGTATGTGTACATTGTATATATATGTGTATAAATCGAGTTCGCTCGAAATCATATGTTCAAAACGCGAAAATTCCCCTTCAACAAACGGGCGATTCTTTTTAACAATGTTGCGGGCTACACTATAACTGGCCAATAACGTAGATTCACTTTCATTTCACATTTTTTTGAACATGTTGCTGCATGAACGCTGCCATTTATCTAAAAAAACGTCTGTTATCAGTGCCTAGTTTTCTTTATACGGCTGATATCTAAAATATTGCAGTGTGTAATCCTAATACGTATACATAAGATACCGGTATAAGTCAATTGTTACAAAGTAAACGTTCTTAAACCGTGATAATGATGTAATCATAGACGGTATCTAAAACTCGAAAGGTAAACACATGAAGTGTTAATATCTTACTCAAGTTCAGTGGGTCATTTTAAATCGTTACACAAGCCGTAATTGGCCGCAGACTGCGGTCTGGAAACCTCTCATCTACACTGATAAATATGCATAGTCTATATATTTTAATACAATTATATTTGAGTTAGGAATTTCAGTGTGGAATCACACCTCGAAATTAGGGGGGTGGGGGAGTGTTTTAATTTTTAGGTGGGGGGGGGGGGGGGTAGGGAAATCACTGCTGGTAATACAGTGGTGACTCAGATCAGTATTTCAATTCACGTTGAAATTCAATCGTAAAGAATAGATCATCGCCACAGGACCTGGAAAATCTATGACAGTCCTCGTATCGTTATTTGTTACCGCTGCAGTACTCTGGGTGGTCGAGTTGCCGGATACGGCTACTGGTAAGTGACCGCATATGATTTTCGGGAAATTGCTGCTAAAATATTTAGTTTTGCCCTTCGCGTCCACGTAAATGAGCATAGCTCTCTTGATAGGATTGGTTATTATACCAAGCCAAGGAATACGCTCGTCACTGCTAACTGATTACCCTGCGTGGGTTCGCAGGTTCGAATCACGTGAGCATAATTATGGGCGAGAGGGTTTGTTGGACTCCTCCCCACTTTAGAGTGGTCCACGCGACCACGGCTTTCTCCGAGGCTGTGGTTCAGCATATGATTAAGTCGTTTTCAGACAAGGGGCCGTGGTTCACCATATGATTACGTCATTTTATCGGCTTTCCTTTGCCCAGGATAATGTGCAAATCCTATTTCTAGTTTGTTCTTGTTGGTATTTCACGGTATAGCCTAAAATAATATGATAAAAATAACTACAAGAAAACTCGGAATTCTGTACAGTATGGCGTTACTTTGACACATGGATGTGTGCTCATTATTAGTTGCGTCAGGTTTTGCGCGTTCTGCAAATGCGATGACTCCAATCATTTTACTACATACCAATTTTCCTAACCGAAGCAACTTCCGCCTAATAAATCACGACGCCCCGTTACTTTAAATCATGCACTGACAAATATTTCCGCGTGGTGAGACAGAACAAACAAACACGATTTGCAAAGCATATTAAACTTTAAGAGTAAGGTCGGTTTTGACAGGACAACTTTTAAGTATCTCGCTATGGATATATATAAAATATCATCGTTATAGTATTTATTTTGAGCTTGCTATTAATGCATGTGGTTAGATTTTCAAGATATTTTTTTAATCTGCAAAAACTGCCGCCTAGGTAGACAATAAAGACGTTTTAATTGTTCAAAATATCATTTCATTACCCAGCGTCATCTATACAGTATCACGCAATTTGGTTAATAACTTATACCGTCCTCATTCGTCAGCCCGATTCAACGAAGCCACTCCATACCGCGAGTACTTGCTACCAACGGAATTATATTCCATATATATGTATATCTGGTCAATTGGAACCACGCATTCAAAACACCGAGAGAACGTGTGAATTTGATGAAAATATTACTAAAAGACTGTGTTCAATGCTGAAAATGGTTTCGTATCAGAGCGAGTGCGAGTTCAATTCACGAGAAATTTGTACCAATGGAGGTATTGCATTTACAGTTAAAATGTTGTCAGATGTTGACAGTTATATATAGGATACCTTTGGACACAATTACAGGATTTTAACACAAACATAAAGTAGTAAAATGCAGCTGGGAAAGCCGGTACTTATAAAGTGCTTCTAAAATTTGTTATTTTGTCACAAATTCCAAGGCTAACTATCATGAACAAACAGACAACGAGAATATCGGTCAGAGACCGAAGACTTATCGATCGAAAGTTAGGGGATTCCTCAAAACAGAAACTGCGGTTTCGATTCGAAAAATTCTGCAAACCCGAACTGGATTGTTTTGAATAGTTTTCAGCCAATATCAAAAATGTAGGAAACAATAGCCAACTCCCCATGTCGTCGTCGAAATACTACTCGAGGAAATACTTTTATGGAGAATTCTGCAAATCCGAACTGGGTTGTTTCGATTAGTTTCCACCCAATAGCCTATTTACCAATCCTATATTTTGTGTTAAATACAACGGCGCTAACCCGGGTTGCGACGACTATTCAAATACAGCCTAGCGATATTTTGGTGAGGCGGCGTGTATCCTTCGCTGACTCAATAGCGTGGAAAATTTCTCGAAGGAAACTTGCGCATCACGACGACGTCAAAGTTACAAGAGAAATATGGACAATGCTCTGACTCACTAGCATGAAAACTTGCGCATCGGACACGCACACACACATTCAGCGCGTCTCGAAAATCTCTCGCTTTGTAAAAAATCCAGATCTCTTCATCACTAATCAATTAATAACTCGCTAATTATACGACATAATTCATCCAATAGGCTACTGGTCCGAGATATGATGAATGCACATGCAAAATTTGGAGCAGATTCAACCACGCCTTCGTGAGATATCGCGTGCATCTAACAGACAGACAGACAAACAGACAGACATACAGACAAATACCTATCAACATACTTACCGATTAAAATCGATTAGTAGCAAAACTCTTTTACAAAACGAATAGCCACTTTGTGTTTTAAGTAATAAAAGTCTCATTTTTTTATAATATATATATATAGTGGCACGCAATGTCAACATAGGTTCAACGCTCTGAGCACATTCGTTTCAATTTTATCTTGCTTTTGTTATCTTAGAAGAAGTAATAAACACTTTCGAAGGATACAGTGAGGAAATTTTTTATTTATTTCAGATATACCGCCCGATTTGACATTGGATTTTATGAGCAGCAAACACGCAGAGCGGAGAGTTTCTAACAGCATTTCTCGTGTTTGCCAATATGACATGCTTGGCTGTGCAAGGTGAAAATAAAAAAAAATTGGTTATCTTTTCATTAATAATTCCATTGCAAAGCTGAAAGATTGATAGTTTAAATACAAAGTGCAGCAGTTGTTTTTTTTATACAAGTACAATATATTTTCAGGAACAGCAGCGACTATGTTGATTCCTTGAAAGACACCAACAACACTGATCAACCTAGCACCGATGCAGTTTCCTTTTTCTCGTACAACATGCATCATGCACGCAGAGGAATATTTGTAATATTCAATCATAAGGTAGTGTTAAGTTAATGGACGCTTCCCTAACCTTCCCTTACTTGGACGAAATCATTTTCGCTCTAAAGCATTTGAAAATGTAACATTAAAGAATTAGAATTTAACGGTATATAACACGGAAACAATATTGTTGCAATTCCTTTTAAATTGTCTGCTCTTCAATCAAGATCAGAACTATGAAAAGCAGTGTGACGTTTGTGGGTCCGACAAATCACACTCACTGTACATCTAACCAAGGTTTTATTTGGGCCGATATCTCCAATTCTCAACAAAAAAGGTCAAACAAGCAACTTATACTTATATTGTTCCTGTTATTACTTATCGATTTTAATCGGTAAGTATGTTGATAGGTATTTGTCTGTCTGTATGTCTGTTTGTTTGTCTGTTAGATGCACGCGATATCTCACGAAAGCGAGATTGAATCTGCTCCAGAGTGCATGTGCATTCAACCTATCTCGGACTAGAAGCCTATTGATTTTGGGCGAATTATGTCGTATAATTAGCGAGTTATTAAGTAATTAGTGATGGGACACAAGGTTTTGGGGGATCCCCTAACTTTCGATCGATAAGTCTTCAGTCTTTGACCGATATTCTCGTTTTATCAGAAACCACGTTAGAGCAGTTGGTACTGTGACGTCAGATCTGTCTTGTATTAACCATCCGTCGGATAGTTTCAGCTACACGCTAATGTAATATTTGAAATATTTTAAATTAGTTAAATATAAATTCTGTATACAAGGAATTTTCTCATTTTGAAGAACCTTTCAATCAAATTTATTTATCAACCCTATTTGTCCTTTTCTATTCTCACAGGAATATAGACCTCAATTAGAGGCAACCAGGAGAGACGGAACAGATCGTGATAGAGATAATCTCTCTGAAACCGCGCAAGCACTTGGATTTCAGGTTTTCATTAAGAACGATTTGAGTGTAAAGGAATTGCTACAATTCATAGATTTTTGTAAGTTCTAATAATTGTGAATAGTAGATTTAAATATATATAATTAAGTTCAGTATAAACATTTAATAATACAAAGATAGAAATAAATTTTCACACTGTGGTAAAACACAAAGCAGGAATCTTTCACGGATTAAATTAAAGCTTACACTTCGAAAGAGACCATGGGAGAAGAATGTATGGTGGGCCATTCTGAAAAGCCTGCCCTCATAAAATACCCAAAATTTATAGAGCTTTTCCTTGAAGTAGTTTTTATATATCAATAATGAACAAACTTTGCTTCACGAACACAAGGTGCTCGGCAAAACTACACAGAATGCGATTGTTTTGCATGTGCCATCCTGACTCATGGGGAATCCGGTGACATGCTGTACGCCAGCGACGGGAAGTATTCCATACAAGAGCTATTCGCATCTCTTCAAAACTGCCCAACATTGATAGGAAAGCCAAAGTTATTTTTTGTGCAGGTCTGGTAGTTTGTATAATTATTACAAGAAGCATGCATAGTAAATGTAAAACGCAAACATTACCTGAAATTGAATAGGAAATGTGAAAAAAAAAACGAAAATTACATAATTCGTTCTATATTGGAATATACGGACGAAAAACATAAAACGATTTTTACTTTCACTTTAAACTATGTTGTTGCCGTTTTGGTATAAAAGCTACTACGCTTTTCTCAGTTTTTTTTTATTCATACTGTACATGTGAAAGGCTTGTCGGGGAAATCGTTTGGATCGTGGGGTAAACGTAGAGGCCGATGCGTTAGATTCATCGACGTTTGATTCGGAAGGATCCCAGTGTGCTGTAATTCCTGTAGAGGCAGATTTTTTTATTGGATATTCTACTGTAGAAGGTATGTTGATGCTTCTATTTTAATATAACTAGTAAAACTGATTAAATATTTTTAACATAAAATATAATATATTCTGTAACTTAACCGCAGGTTACTACGCTTGGAGAAATGGCGAAAATGGTTCTTGGTTTGTTCAATCGTTGTGCTATTGCTTGAAAAAATTCTATAAAAATATGGAACTCATGCAAGTAAGTTTGACAATGGATACAAAAAATATGTCAATCGATGATTTTTAATTTAGGATTTCACACACACAAAAACACTGCGTTGGTTCATTCTAATCCAGTGAAATGGGTCTATACTTTAATAAGGACACCTGAGGTTATAATGTTTTTGGCTGAACATTATATTGTTTTAGATTATGACTAGAGTAAATCGAATGGTTGCGTATGACTTTGAATCAAATGTGGCAAACTCCCCGGGATACCACAAAAAGAAACAGATGCCATCCATTGTGACAAGACTGACAGGAGACGTATATTTTGAATCCAATCCGACGCCAGAATTAAATCGCGAAGAACCTGATGGGCGACTCCTTCATCGTAAAAAATCAATAAAGCATAATTTTATGGTATATAGTTTTTTTTTTGATTACTACATTTTATAATTTGAAGTGAATCGATCTTTGCAACAAATCGTTTTTGCATACTTGGCAACTCCTCCCTATGCGCCGGAACAAAGTTTTATTTGATGTTCAACCTTAAACAAATTTCACTTACTGTATCGAGTTTTTTGAATTAGTATTTCACTAATGTATAAATACCCTGTTTCAAATTAATTTCTAGCGTTGTATCATTTAATGTATTTTACATCTAATTTTAAGCTGAAGACAGAAGCAACTCATAGCACGCATATCAAAAGGCAAACGATTAAGACCAAATTGAAATTAGTCAAGTTGTCACAAAAGAAAAAAGAAATCGAATTAGAAGAAGAAAAGCTACGGGAAAAATTGTTGGAAGATGAGCTAGCATCGCTATGATATATATCTTCAGATATTACAGAGCTGCATATAATTTTGATTGATTATCATTAGAGTATCATGACTATGTCCGCCTAATTGCCGATTGTCAATAACAACAAGTCCACTATAAGGAATTTCTACGTAAGCCGGCTTCCCATGTTCTAAGCAATTGTTCCATACGCCCCCAACGATTTTCACTATATTTCAGATACAGTACTTGAATATTTTTTTTATGTTTTTCTTACATATTTATTCATATTTCCTGTATTACAATAACCTGATAGCTCATGCATCAAAAAAGTATGTAGCCCTTTACCTTATGCATGTTCCGGATTCTATGACACATCGTGTTAAGATTTTGCGAAATACCTACAAAGCTGTTGCTTGTCTCTTCTAGAAAGTCATTCCAGAACAGCACAATGGAACGAGTAAAAGAGAGAAATTGTAGCATATTAGATGTCATCCAAATCACAAATTATGCGAATTTGTAACTATTTTAACAGACATTTTCATCCACTATCGCACCCATGTTGTTGTTTTATGTTAACTTAAAGTAGAGTCGCCGTGTGGTTATGGTATGACTTTGGTAGAATAGTTCATGCATTACACCATAATGTGATACTAAAGATGAATCAGCGCACAACTTGAGTATGCAAATCGGCGAATCTGATATATCCGCCCCTATTGAGATCGTATTTGAGATAGATCACACATGGAAAGCATCCAATTATGCAATGTGACTCGCTTTCATCTCTTCCTGTTATTCAGATCAGGTTTCCCGTGTCATTGGAACAAAATAAAGCAGTCAAATTTACTTCACAAAAATTCTCGTGCCTTTAGCACACTCAATTTAGTTGTCCGTTTTAGGTATTTTATTCTTAGTTTAATGCAAGTATACAATATATATATAATATATCTAAAATTTGTATCATTATCACCAGAGATAAATTACGCTTGTTATATATTATACCCACATATGTATGTGGGTATAATATATATATACAGTATATTTATATAATATATTATTCAATATTCCATTTTCACAATTGTACCGTGCCACAAATAGAAACTGGTGTCTTAACCTGGGCTGGTGAAAAGGCGTAAATACATCATTTATATTCAGTAAAAGTGTTGCGGATATATATATAGGATTTAATTTCAACAGTTAATTATGTCTACTCTCCATTGTATTCAAGTCGAACAATATTGAGTCTCCACTCAAAGCCTTTCTTTACTGGCGCGCATATTTTGTAACAAGTAATTTACAGGCACATACAAATATCCCAAAATAAATCTTTAAAAGTTGAAAGATCCAATTTCTAAAGCACGCGATTCGTGTAACGTAAGTGGCTTTAATTGGTTGTTCTGGCTTTCATCGCAGAGATAAACTGTCCTTACAACTTAAAACTATTGTTTATTGATTTCGTTCAACAATGTAGCAATGAGATTTGCCATGTTGAGCGTACTTCACTATAAGCCTTTCAGCTCATCGAGAAGTACCTTAGTTTAACGTAGACGTTTGAATATTCGTAATGGCGGAAAAAACTGTAACATGGACAGAGCCACAAAACAAACCATTTTCAAGGAATACTGCATCAGCGCAGGATGAACATGCAATCAATGGACGTAAGCGGTACGCAGTTAGAGAGCAACCAACATGGATAAACTGCAAACTTTCCAGACCTCCACAGTATAAAACTAATGGACATGCAATTCAATCAAATGTTGAAACGTTTAGTCAACTATCGCAAGCAAGGGAACCCAGTGATCTGAGTATCAGAATAGCAAGTCCTCGCCCGCCGCTTACACCCAAGTCAAATTCAACAAGGGCGGTATCGACCATTACACGTTTATCAGATCACGAACCTTCACATTCAGCTCGATCATCAGATCACAGTATTCATCGAATAAATCAAATATATGTAAGTCTTCCGATCTAATAAGTAAATAAAATCCGTGCACAGTCAGTCGTTTTTAATCAATTTGATTTTCAAGTTCTAGTTATCCATCAAATCTTAAACATTTCTCTCTTGTAATATCAAATATTTTTGATTGATTTTAAGATAATTTGAAATTAATTTCCTCGCTCTAATGCCTTTGTGTCTAACAATTTGGTTCTGGTGGCTATACTTAGTGAGTATACACTATACAGATTTGAAGAAGGAAATGTCTGCCTTGCAAATGTTGGTAGATAAAGAGTTTAAATAGTAGTGTGCGCGAAAGTCACATGTGGGTGGATAGTTGTAAATTAAAAAAACTGATTTTTTTACGTCCATCTAGACCAGCGTTTCTCAACCTTTATTTTTCGTGGCTTATTTTCGTTGCACAAAAATTCTGTGGCCCTCTAACTTTTTCGTGCTGGGGAAAAACTTCAAGAAAAACATAGAATTTATTCTGCGAACATACTTTCACTTTAATAAAAATTAGATAAAAATTATCACCCTTTAACAAAAAACAGCATCATCCATTGCTACTACCATCAAATTCAACTAACTTTATCAACAACTCTAGCATTGTTTATTAGGTATGTGGCCCAACTGAAAATGTTCGTGTGGCCCAGCAGTGGGCCATGGCCCACTGGTTGAGAACCAGTGAACTAGACATACAGTTGAAGCATAAAGAAACTAATAAATAGGCTGTTTCCTTAATCGACGATCTAATATAGGTATATATAACCTAAGTATTAGGGCTGGGCATTTCGAATCGAATAGTAAATTATTCGAATCGGTTCAAAGCTAAATTTCGAATCGCCGCCATCTTTTTTTTTCCGCTAATGATCTAGGTGAATTACTCATTTTTTGTTCATTGAAGTCATAATTTTTTTTCAACGCAATTCTAACATATGACTATTTTCTGTAGTGAGTTATTGAGAAAACGTGTTTGTTATTGTGTGTGAACGCTCAGTAATCTATATGAGTGATGTATTCTATGTCTTCAGTAATTCATTTGTTAAAAGGACCAAGTACTATAAAAAAGTCGCTCACAATTTCCAAGTATTCGAGATTCGATTCGATTCGAAAAAATTATTCGATTCGATTCTGAAATCACAAGGTATTCGAAAATGCCCAGCCCTACTAAGTATAACGTAATAGAAAAGAATATTATATATGTTTAAACCGTGGTGTTATAATATTTTGGAAGTAACGACAAATGTGAATAAGCCATTATTTTGATTTTACAGTAGGACTACAAGATCTAGTGATACTTGGCGACAACGAACTGAATGAGAGAAACAAAGGAAGAGATGTTTTAAAAAAGAAAGTAGAAGAATCGGGCATACGATTGTCAGTAACACCTGAATCTTATTATTATCAATCTAGTAACACGGATATTGACATAAAATCAAAAAAGCAACCTTCATCTTTGAAAAGATTTCGGATATCAAGTGCGGAATCGACACACAGGTTAGAATCCCAAAGTTTACATCGAAATAAATATTAGGTATTTTCTGTATAAAATATCCTAGCCGCCGTAGGGTGGTTCACGTAACCGCTGGTCGGCTACGGCTCCCTCCACCGTCAAGTCCATGCTTCCGAAAAACAAATTACGACCTAATCCCATACCTGACATGAAATGATATCCGGACGAGAGGCCGTGGTTCGCAATATGGTTAAGCCATATTATCGGCTTTCCTCGCCCCCGGGATAAATATGTAAATCCTATCCTTAGAGTATTACAAGCAATTATAACGAATTTGAGACTTTTTCTACACAAGTCTTCAATCACACGTGCTTATTTTCAATTTCAGATCACCTGACGTATCGATCGGACTCAGGCATATCGCAACGTTATTGCGGGGTCAAGAAGTGGAGTCAAACAAAAAAATATTGCATCGGAGGCGATCAACTTCCACCTTACTTTCTTTGACTAAAATAACTTCCAATAACATTCAAAGAACACGGAGACAAAGCGAGCCTGTAATTCTCTCCACGAGTCATCTTAGAGATCTCGGTATGCGCACTCCGGCGCCAGGCGAAGGCTACCTGCAGCAGAGGCGACGTTCTTCATTGTCTGCACCAGCAACAATGGGTACAGAATCGAACTCGCCAAGTAAAAACACCTACAATGCAAAGCGAAAGACGCGGCCGCTTCCGCAGGCATACAGTTCCTCCCATTTTGCAGACAGGGAATGGAGGCCACCAACCCTTCAAAAATTTTCTATCAAACCCCCCTGGGCACCTTCTCAGCAAACGCCTAGATATTTTCCAAAGTACTCAAATCTACAAGATATCCACTGCAGAAATCCATACCTGGTGCCAGGTTCTATTTTATACAAGAGCTCAACGCTATTGGAATAAGGCATACACAGTATTGGAGAGGCTGAAGTCAACTACTAAAATAAAGGACGTGAAACACCAGTGAGACTTGCTCAGAGATTGTACTCAATTTCGGACATGAAACTTTTGATGGCACATGACCGAGACTTCTACATAACTGCACTCGCTGCAAATTGTTACCCCTATCAATCAATCATTTAACAAATTACAATTTCTGTCTTGTTCAGAATATAATTCCATCTCAAAACTTGGCCAATGATTCGAATTGATGAAGATTAAAACCACAGCCAAAAACAAAAATAATGTTGTCGCCCATAACATATCCATACTTCCATTTAAATACAAGATGAATGATACAGGTCTCCGCCATGATTGAAGCAAAACACCAATGGCACAAAAAGTGTTTCAATAGCATGTAATGGATTTTCATATTATTGGATAGGATCAATTGTAGCAAGCTTTGAGTGAGCATTATTCAGATTATTCCTCCATTCCAACAAACGATCGGCAAGAAGTTGCCACTGATGTCGACCAAACGTTCTTTGTGTTGTGTGACTGAAAGTAAAATTATATAATCGCAAACAAGCAAGGTATGTTACCTTGTGTGACAACCAAAGACTTATTCATAGCTACCGGCATCTCAGATTTAAAATATTCTATATTTCAAAAGAACAAGAATAGATTATTTGTTAAAGTGAACATGCACAGCCACAGCACGGTGAATTCTGACATAAGTTTTGGTATGGAAGTTTGATAGCACATAATCTTGTAGGCACTTTGTTACTATCGCATGAATCCCATTGTGAACTTGTCAGTGTCAACAAAAGTCCCTAATTGATGACTGAGCTGTGGTTCTTATTCTTAGAAACTTTCCTCTTCCAACATAAAGAATATTAAATAATAATGTTGGACTCATGCCTATGGAACAATGGAGATAGCAAAACTCAAAACTTGTGGAATACCTGACAACCAGCCTTCTGTTAAGATGATCAATTTTGCCTGTGATCAATTTACTCTGTATAGCTAAAAATAAACAATGAAAATGATTAGAAAAATAAAGTTCCAAGTGTAAAGGTTGTTCACAGTGTGTAACGGGCATCAATTTTAGCATTATTTTAATGCTGGAGTGGTAAATAGTAAATCCAAAATTTGCATTAAATAGACAACGGCAGTTAGTCTATGGCTCCACTCGTTTGCTTATCAATGAATCAAACATACCATTTTTCACATTTATTCAGAGATCGTGGTTTTTACTTATTCGTTGATGTGAATTTGGGGATACTGCAACTACTATGGTGTTTAATGTGTAGCTTGAACCTTGAATATAATTGTATAATTTCAGTCTAGCCATCAAAATTATTCCAGTGCAAGAACTACATGCTTACAGCACTTTATTTCGTGTATGAATTGATAACTGGTGCAATCAACTGAGTCAGCGGTTTCCAAACTTTTCTCCCAAGCAACGCTAAATTATTAGGGAAAAAACTCAAGAAAGGAAGACTTGAAAAAAATTCCTGCCCATGAAAAATGCAATGCAATGCAATATTTTTTCCACTGATTAAAACTATAATTAAGATCTTACCACTGATGATAAATTCTTCCAATTCATCTTCACCAAGTTGTAATTGGGATTGGATTTCACTAAAAGGCACATCATTCTTGCCAGTTACTGCATCTATAAGTGTCAGAAGTCTCATTTTCTTAAGACAAAAATCATGATCCAAACCTGTTGAAAAAGTAAAATGAATTACCGGAAGTAATACCCTGAGACTAATTGATCGATAATAAGTCACACAAAACAAATGACGAGTGCTAACCAGTGTTCACTATTAGCGCACTTTTTTGCGAAAATTGCGAAACACTTTCGCAACTTTTTTTAGGGACTGCGAAATAGCACTTTTTTCCGATTTTAAAGAGAAATAGCACTTTTTTTCGATTTTGAATGGAATAAAAATTCAAAGTTGACAAATATTTTTGTGTGCGTATTAAGTTGACAAATAAGTAACATACTAGTACTTTTGTAACTCAATTCTGCATATCATAACGATATTTACCGGAATTCTAACCTATGTGGTGAAGACATGGAAGATAAAGCTTTTGCATTAATGGCAAAATTCTTGTTTTTTAATATGATTATTATACAAGCACACCGATTCCGCTTCCACCGCGAAAACGCTCGGCGGCGTCTTTGAAACCAGATGTCCGAATGCAAGGCAGTGCGTTTCTCTAAACGAGAGTGGTCATGTGACTGTCAATGACATCGATGAATTGTGACCAAAGTACACGATTTTCTAGTACTGGTTTGACAGGTCTGTGTTCTCTTCTTAGTGAATTTACTGGAGCCATTCAGAAATTTCTGATACTCGACACGACATTGTTTAGTAATGGAATGTAAACTTGGGCCATTGTTTGTTAAATTAGAAGAAACTTTTAGCAGCATCTCACAGATTTGCAAAATCGCCAAATTGACAAAATACATACGTCGTATTAACATTTAACAGCCATTTTATTGTAACCACGAATGTTAAAAGCAAATGGCGTTTCGCGGAATTTTGCGATATTCAGTATTAGCTAGTCTAGTCATTCACGATAAATCAAACTCAGACCAGGGTCAAAAATCAATCTAAACTATTTCCTCATTAATATGCGAGTAGGGGTGGGCAAAATCGAATATTTTTTCGAATTGAATATTTTTAACGAATAAGGAATATTTTTTATGCACAGCAGGAGAGTCTAGAACGTCGGTCGAAAAATTAGCAAGGAAGCCTTTTCTACTGGTTAATTTCGTTATAATAGCTAATTGTTTTTGTCACCGCAATCGTTTTGGCGACTATATCCTGGGTTTGGCAATCCAGGCTTACGCGTGCGTTCACATCGGCAACAGCTGTTAAGGGCATAACGACAAATTTCAAAACCAAAATAAACATTTGCGTTGACTTGATATTACCTATCAACGTTTGTAAATTTACTGTCCCAATTTTAAGCGAATGGTATTATTATTATCGATGCCGGAATGCAATATTTAAGACGATAATTAACTTTTATAATTTTTTTATGGTGTCTGTATTAATTTACAGATAAACCTCGCAAATCTGAGATTGTGCCAATCCTGAATGTTGATTTAAAATTGTGATTAAATAATTCGGCAATAAAGGCATTTCTGCGTGGCCATAAGACGAGATGACTTTAATAAACAGCACTTCTTTAAGGATATTTTACATATGCGACTAATGCTAAAAACATTGGGCTCGAGTGCTCTGGTGCCTAATCAGGCGCTAATTGCAACTAATTCAACTCAAGTTTCAACGACTTTTTTCGTCTTCACGATATGTTATCTTTTTTATTCGGTACTGATAATGATAAATAAAAAATGTGTAATTGTTGATTGCAATTCCGGAAAAAACGAACGAATTTAACCGCGGTTAACCGCGCATTGGAAAGCAAAACACAATTTATTAACATTACTTTACAATGAGTTACGGGTAAGAATTAACCAGACGGCTATCGCTAACATGTAGAAACAATAAATTTGAAACGATTTTGTATAAAGCGTGTCAACATCGTTTTTGTAAATTTAGAAACGTCGATAAGTAAGACAAGTAAATAATGTATTTTATGGAACTTTCATGAGATATTGGTGAGAAATATTATTTTGACCATGTCGAAATGCCATTATTGCCGATTTATTCACGTGTTTAGTTACTATCAGTGTTTTAACCCAAAGCTGAGTTACGTAAATACTTAACACTGAGTACTCAAGAGATAACCAATTTGCGGAGTTTTTCAATTATTATTTAATACGAAAGTAACACAGACACGATCTAAAATTAAAAGCATAGAAATGTCAACTATCTGCTTCACAAATATCGCATCCCGGGGTCAGTAATAATATTATTGTTCGCTTAAACTCGGGACGGTAATTTACGAACTGATACAAATCCTACACAGAAGATAAAAATCAGAACAAAATCAATTTTCGTTGTGAATGCGCTCATTAATAGTTGTCTTTAAAATCTTCGCCGATGTGAATTCACAATTCTATCCGAAATATAAAAACCAAACTACGATGTCCGCCGTTACGTGAGAATTAATATTTGCTAGTGAATAAAAACATGCTTTAATATAGTTTAACAACACGATCGCGGCGACAAAAAATTTACTGCAGCCTTCGATTATGACAAAATTATGAAATAATCATTGAATGGCAATAAAAATTTAACTTCATTAACAATAATTTTCAAGTAATAGTTTCACATTTTCATGATTTTGATCGTCGCTACATGCGAGCGTGTTTTTGTACATATAAACCATGATGACACTACTGACATCTGCGAGTTATAGATCTCTCCAAATTTAATTTTCGCGATTTTTAATGTTTCATTTCTAGATGCGGATGCCCGCTGACTACGGATAAATGGTCGATGTTTAAAATAGGACTTCGGACCGTTGGGCAAAGAAGGCGGGCTACACGTAACTGCGAAATTTCGCCGTGAACGACCTTACATTTTAGTTATAAACGCATTACGTCGTCGCGAATTGCAGTTTTGGTGTAATGTTTTAACTTCCCCCTAATCTCCCGTTGAAAAAATCCTGGCTGCGCCCCTGCCCGGTGATAATTCTAGCTAAAATGTTACAATTTTATTTACGGAATTTGCAAATTCACCATTTTGATAATCACGCCCTAATTATTGGTGCAAAAATACTCAAAATATCACGAATTTAATCATTTCCGATGTTATAGGCGCAATTCATGACGGCGACAGTGTGCGTTGTTACATCGAAATTCACGATTGATTTTACGTTATACTCTTGTTCACGATTTCAACACTCCACCCGCCATGCATGGCTGAGTGGAAGGTTCACATTTTCGAAACATTACTTGGCCAAGGATGGGAGGGATCACTAACGAGCTAATTGAAAGCACATTAAAAGGATTATGACTTGTCATTTTTTTCTGGTTATAGCCTGTACATGTTATACCATGTGTGGGCTCTCGGAACGTCAATTTAACTTTTAATTTTCGACAATCAATTGTATGTGCGGCTCCTACATGAAACGGCTAATTCATGCTGCCAATATACGGAGTTTGAAATCTGGGATATTTATTTCGAATAGTCTATTTATTTTGACTCTTCTAAAATTAGGAAGCTTTGTTGGTACCTTTTTTGGCGCAAAGTATGAAATTGAAACGATACGAATATTTTGCCCAGTCCTATAGGCGAGGTTATGATATTAACGCAGAGAATATTTGTAAGCATATCACTGGATGGAAATATTTTGCACCAAGACTGTTTGCAGAAGTTGATTTATCGAATACACGGAAAGTATTTATTTATCATCTCACTTGCGAACATCGGGGTTTGGGCGGAATTATACGATTATGTTGTTGTTCTTAAATAATAACTTTTTCGATGAATGTTTATTTTACTTTTGTGTATTAATTATGATATGTTGAGTTTTCGTTTATTTCAAATTCGAAATTGTCCGGAATACTCAAACAGGTGTAATATTGATAGTATAGTGTAATCGAGTAACCAACTTAGAAGTCTTTAGAGATGTCTAATGAACTTGATGTGTTACGGGTGTCGTAACCCCGTTTTTTTTTATTAAATTTGATTGTTCTACCTTCCGCTTATAAAACAACATCGTTATACGGTCATCTAAGGTAACTCTCGCGACCAAATCTTTTTGTTCTGTATGGCATCACCTTAGCGCCATTTATTACCGACTGAATTTTAATTGTGATTTATGATAAGTTATTTTCTGTTAGTTGGCGCTGATAACGTCGCTAATTTATGTATAAACATAAAATTTTTTTAAATATGTTCCTTACGTCTCTGCTATAATTGACAAGCGATAGCACAAGATTCAGCAGCAAATGATAAGCAAAGCTATTTTATAATCATGGGTTGCTTAATAAAGATTTGCTAATTATGGCAGGATATAAAGAACATGGCCTGAAATATATAATTAACAGAACGATGTTTATTTTTCAGTCGACGAAAACCCTTAATAATAACGATTGCCGAAATCGCGAAAAAAATGAATACGGATTTTCGATTGTGATCAGATGACTGAGAGGGCACATGTTTTTTTCTCTGTTCAAAGCAGATATAAAACGAATACCATGTTGCCGAAAAGCGGTTACGTGTTATCTTTCTTTAGCCAATCAAAATAGTGGTAATGGTATATACAAGAGGTTTCTAAACTTTACAAACTCGGAACGCAATTAATATTAAAATTACAAGTAATGGTGCATGGAAAAACGAATTTGATTTTATTGAAATTGAAACGCACACACATAAGAGTTTTACATTTCATGCACAACTAACCGATGCTACATGTGAGATTTGTGCACATGAACGATTATATATCGCGATTATTTATGTGAGAATGCGTACTTCTCTTTCAACTTTAATTTCCAGGATTTCGGCGTTCACGTGGTCGACTAAAAAAGATTTATCAAATGGATTGGTATTTCGCGTCACACTCAAAATTATTTGGGAACCACATCATGTCATTCGTTTATTTTTTACATTCATGTTTTTTTCAAGAATCACCCTGTTGTATTTCCTGTACCTTCGCAAAGGAAAACTCTTTGGTGTCATCATTACTATTAGTGTAATTGAAAGTGGCGTTGAGATGCGAATATTTCATACTAGGTCTGCAGCATTAGAGAGAGCGTTATTTATAAATGCTGGAAGTACATGGCATTTCTAAAAAAAATTGCAAATATATGATGTTTTCTACCCGATTTGAACTAACTGGCACGCAAACCAATGCAAGTCGATATTTGAAATTACACGTCTTAGCGTAATCCGTGAGACAGTATAATATAAATTAGGCCAAGCTAGCTCATGAAAGGGATTTCAAAGTGATCTTGCATAATATTTCGGAAAAAAAATCTTCGATAGAAAGTAGGTCACTCTATCTATAAAAACAGCGGTACTTTCATGGTGATCTTGCGTTATTTCCCAAAGAAAAACTGGCCGGAGAAACATGACGTTAACCAATCTCTTAAAAGGGAAGAGGGCGGACTACTTTCAAGCATATTCTTTCGGACGAGGAAGCGTGTTATACTAAAGCGATATTGGTGATGGGTCATGGGGATGTCATTTTGCCCGGGTTTTGTACAAATGATCCCCCTCCCTAGCTATGGCCGGTAGTAACTAATATCTGCATGTATCAATCGGTGTCTGTTAGATGGAAGAAACAAGTTTGCAAGGCTTGTCTGTTCAGGCGGGAGTGCGCTTCGTTACTGACGCTGGTGGTTGATTGCACGAAACTTTTATTCCCGACAAGTGTGCTTATCAGGTGTCCTTTGATGAATTCGCTTGTTTTTAACAAGAGTTTAAACGAAACTCCGTAAACGGAAAGACTTCAATTCACAATATTAGCGGAAGGAGCGCTTTTTCGAGTATCTATGCTGTTTGAAATGAGTTTAAACGAAAGCTAGGGCACCTAACTAGTTAAAATCAGAAAAAGCACTTTCGCACTTTTTTTTTCGACTGCGAAGCACTTTCGCACTCATAATTTCCTTAGAGTTAACACTGGTGCTAACAGTTCTCAGCTTCCATAGAATTAACGGTGAGCGAAAAACAGTTGTTTCATGATTGCTAGTTGAAAACAATTTTTTAGCATGTTGAGTTCACTCAAAATTATACGCGATCGACCACTACAGACATGGCGATCGATGGCTCAATATGTTGACCACCCCCCGAGTGAGCAGACAACAACCATAAAAAAAAAATATAAAAAAAAAAAAAAGAGAGATCTGTTTTCAAATTTATCAACCTCTTTTCAGATTTCCATTTGGCGTTTTATACCTAGTCATCTCAAGTCTAGTGATCATTAAACAACATTTTCATACAAGATTTTCGTAGTTTTCCCACAATCCAATAATTGATTTTAGACATTGTAAACAAGATTTTGAAACTCAATACACACCAATGTTTTTCAAATATTCACTATTTTCAGAATGAAACTTCTGATAATCTTCTAATATTCCACTTGTGAATATACTGAGAAGCTGAAAAAGTAATAATTTCTATGTCATAGATCTACGTTATAGAATGGTAATAGAAGTTGAAATATCAAACACTGTAGGGAATGGTGTGGATCTTCAAGATGACTATTCAACATGTTATATACATCAGATTTATTATTGAATTGAAAAGTATACGAAAAGGCCAGTATTAATAGAAATATGTACCAGATTCAATGAGCTATTGGTAAATCAGCAAAAGTAATCAGAGTAAAATCACCAAGAAGGATTACAGGTAAATGATGGCTTCCTACTTACGTTGAATATAGTTTCACCTTCCAGAAATTTGACAGGCTTCAAAGTTAATAAGTGATCATACAAATAAGTATTACTGTCAGCAAGGGCCCGAACGATGCATCTATAAGAAAAATAATATTAACTTTCCACAGTTGTTCATGTCACATACATATTTTACAATTTCAATAGATTTTACAACACCTGCGGAATGAAATAACGCAGAATCAAAAAAATTAGGGAATTTTAGAAATCATGACAAAGCGATGGAAAAAAATTATGTTGGTCTATTTTCATATAAAATATTCTATTCAATCAACTGGATGAAAAATATCAAAATTATTCATATCATCTACAAGAGAGTTAGTTGTCTTGAAATGAATACAAATTACAATTCCTAGAATAAGAGATGTTGGCCCTTACCGATGTGCATCTTCTCTAGCCTGAGAAGCATTATCTTCTGTATAGTCACCAAGCAACTGTATCATTGTGCCAGCTGCATCATCACTATTTCCACAAGATACCTGAGCATCATACATCAGTCTCAATAGGGTATGTCTTTGATCAACAGTAGAACCCCACAAGTCCATCCATGAATTAACCTACAGAAAGTATATGCGGTAATACACAGTAAAATCAGAATAGGAGAACCAAAATAATTCCAATAATATTCATTTTGAAATTAAATTCAAGCAAATAATTAATTTTTGAAAAATTGTGAGTTTTCTAAGTTTGAAAATAGAACTATGTAACTAAATGAAAATTCAAATTTGTGTATATTCATAACCAAATTAAATTATTTAGACTTTCATTGAATAATGAACCATTATGCTATACTAACACAATTGAATTAAAATTAATTTTTCATCCCAAACACCAATTATAACTGTCATTTGGAATTATGCAACTCTCTGCCTTTGTGCTAGTGGATCCATATCCAAATAATGCTACAGCAGGAGGTATTAAAATGACAATTCTATTTGCTACAAGAGTCTTGCTTGCTGCTTACTAACACAATCGAGATTAGAATTCTTCAGTCAAGCATAGAAATATCTCTCATTTATTCAATTATGGTCGAGTCAAGGCACTAACTTATTACTAGAATTTCTATGAAATTTAGGACTGTTTCAAAGTGGACTCAAACAGGTTCTAGTTTTATGATATCTCATATAAAGAGATTCTCAATTAGGTTCCCATTACTCCAGTTACCAGTGTTTACTTAATTTTTCTACTATTCTATGCATGTTTCAATGACTATTCATAGAATCCACATACCGTAAATATTTTATTGAATAAATCATGATAATTAAGATCATACCTTTTTTAAATCGGTAGGAACAAGATTAATGCTTCCATTACTTCCAGCAACTTTCAACCACGCACAATATGTATCATAAAGAAAAGGTGTTTTGATGTCGTAACCATGAAAGAAATTATGCAATCTGTAAAGTAGTAAAATTAATTTTTAAATTTTTCTCTAAATAAACAAGACAACTATAGTTAAGCAACATCAATTTATTTGAACATTCAAAAAAAGGATTCCAACCATAGAACAAAAAAAACAAATGTTCACATTTATCCAAACAACAAGAATAACTATGGGAGACCAAAAGGTATTGTTGTGTCCCACTTGTCCCATTTTCAGTACACTTGTCCCACACTGCTTTGTGTTAGGGTAATATGCATTGTGGGGCAAATGGTTAAACTAAGCATAATATGACGTGGAAATCATTTTATGTGATTGTTTGAATAAATATAACATTGTGGCAGTAGGTTGGAGTATCCATATATAATGCGATATTCCAATGAGAACTATCGTGACAAGATTATGACAAATGTGGGATAAGTGAGAGCTTGGTTGCAACGTTTAGACGACAAACTAAATATTTCGTTATGAGAACAAATATTTCCAAAAATATATTGATAGATATTATTTACTAATCCACATTGTGGAACATTAAAACCAGGATCTGAATTGGATAGATTTCATTGGATATAAAAATGAAACTAAGGAAGCACGAACTTAAGAAATATGACAAAACGGCTGATGAGGATATCAAGATAAACTAACCCAGAAACAATGGCCCATAGTTTGAAAAGTTATCTGTAAAACGATATTATTCAAACCAGAAACACTTCATGGATATGGATGATAGTGCAAAATATACATTCTTTAGTAATATTTTTACTCTTAATTGCATTGCAAAAATTTCTTTACATTACTTACAATCGCATAGAGAGAGACGCTTTGCCAAATTCTGCAGCTTTGGTGAGTTGGTCACACAAAACTTTTATCAGTGGCGTACAATTTGTAGGAGGAATGACAAAAGTAAAGAAAGAATGCTGTTTATTACTCCTTCAATGTCTGCAAATATACATTAAAACAAATTGAATGAATACATGTTTTGACAATATACACTATTTGGGAATATTATTCAAAACCTTGTACATAGTTCATAAGGCTCTGATTAAGAGTGAAAGTGGTGACTCCCTACGGCCCATAGGCAGGGGCCATGACCCATCGAATTGGGCCTCGTCCCATCAGGCTATGGGCCATGGCCCATCAAGTTGTGTGAAGGGACTATTCACTTGGCTAACACAGACAGTCCCTGAACTCTAATGTTAAAAATATGAACAAAATTTTGTCCTAAGCCTAACCTGGTACACATACTACAGGAGTATCCTTTTCTGTAGCTTGGTATTCTGCTTTATTTTTATATAAAGGCTCGTTGTAAAAAAAAATTGGTGGCATCCAGTGTTTTTGTTTGGTTCGAATATTAAAAATTTTGGCAAGATAATTGAATTTTTCTTGATGGGGCATGGGCCCAATTAGATGGGCCATGGGCCGTAGAGGAGTCACCATCCCTGTAGCTAATTAATGGAGGGCAAACATTCTAAAACCCATGTCAACAAACTGACAAATCCCAAATTTACGATGGGTCATGTCATGTCATATAAAATTTTTACGACTCTTGGAATATATACCTCTGATGTCACAATTCTTCCAAAGAATTTCTGTTGATTTAATTATATCGCTGACATTTTCATAAAGATCTTCTTTGTTTTCAATATCAATCTCTGCACCAATTGACTTTAGATACTCACGCAATTCCTTCGCCTAAAGAAAATGACAAAATATTAACTTCAAGTCCTCAATACAAGCACACACCATACTGCTGCAAGCTTGCAAAAAATTACTTATCGAATTAAGAAATATTCTTGCCAGAGAATAAAAATCATAAATTGATTGCATTTAATCACTTATCTCAGGATTCTGCTAACATGCTAAGGTGCCAAGGGTTTTATCAGCTTATTTCTGTATTTGTGTAATATCTGAATATTGAATTTATGACAAATTTGACAACCCAACATGAAAGCATACGAAAACTAATGGCAACTGCAGAACATCTTTAATAAAGAAACATCAAAATAAGTACAAATACTGAAATAAACAGATTAAAATTTTACCTGATCTGCAGGAGGAAGATCGATAAATGCTGGAACACTCATATTTCAGTATTTAACCTTGAAATTAAGAGTACAAGTTTTTTCCACTTCCAACACACAACTTCGCTACCGTACGGTACCTACTTTGATCAGGTTATTCTGTAATTACTGAATTACTAGTTTTGTTTTTGCTAAACCTAAAAACCCTTGCTTCCTTGCCTACTTTCTGACTTTCATGTCCCTTCCACGCCTAAACGCAACATTGAATCTTCTATAAATGCTGGTCATGTTGCATGTGTGTAACAATATTGTGAATTTCATGTTCAAATAAATCATTTCATTATTTAATATATATATATATATACATGAAAAATAATATCTACGTGGAAGATAATATTTCAATATGAAAGTCTTATTTTTTTTATGTTTCCACAATGTGGTTTATTCAATTTGGCAGTTTTTAGCGTCTCAAATAGAAAATCGTGAAAAGCACCGGTCGAAAAGCATGCGCCTCGTCGCCGAAGTCAATGCGCACAATGAGCCGCAAAAGCGACTCGTGAAATGTGAAAGTAGTCTTCACAATATTTTTTTGACATAAACCGAAAAATGTTATATATGAGTCAAAAATTGAGATCAAAAAAATAAATAAAAACAATCAAATGATTAGGTGCAAGAAAAAAGACTAACAAACTTCATTGGTCATCGATACGGGTCATCGATTTTTGACTCTTGTACGAATTAAAACGAATCGACTTCATCTGCCTTTTGATTACGGGAGGCGCGATGGTGAGCGGTCTATATTTATATCCATTGACATCGTTTCAGTTTTTGATTGTATCACAGTTTGTAAACGGCGAATTGTTTATATCATCTTTTTCATTTAAAAAGAAAATCAATTTCAAGGTCTTGATCATCGCTGAATCTGTCAGTTGAAGATAATACTGATCTTCATTGAGTACTGGCACAGGAACAAAGTTATTATGACATACGTGAAATAGTACCCACAACTTGCCACTATCTGGGGCAAATCAAGTTCTTGTCGTAAAACTAAACCCACAACTTGCCATAATCTGGGGCAAAGCTTCATGTTTGGAAGTAAGCTGATGAAGCAGTTACTTATGCTGCTGCGTGTGCAGACGTACCATTGTTGGTAACTTGTGTATGGTATAATTTATCAACATACTTGGTATATACAGAAATCATGTATAACGTTATATAGTCTATAACCCTTTGTTCTGAATAAAGTGGTAACAGGACACTGAGACATGGATAATATTATTAAATAGTGGTGTTTATTGGTCGAGTGTTGTTTATTACTGTATCATTGTTTTTTATTATTTGGGCTTGTCATTGCATATTTTATTCCCAACCCCCACCTGACTACGTCGTCCGAGAACTTCGTCTTGATTGCTCGAACGCCAGTGATTGCCCACAATCAGTACGGCACATTATACAATTCGGGTGACATTGTCCCATTTCAGGGAAACCCATTTTACAGATGATCAAACACCCCTCCTTTGGGAGACGTCTGGACATTGTTGTCCCTCAATATTGGTAATAATACAGTATAATGAAGTTGCGCTGAATACTATAAAAAAGCGCAATCTAGTAAAGTCATCATTGTATTCCTTGGGAAAAGACAATCGATTTACTGAAGGAAAAAAATTTTTACAGTAGCATTCGAGAGTTTTTAGCAAAAAACGGCAATTTTGGTCATGTGACGGCCGCGATTAACTTATATCATTATTAGAGAACCATGGTGTGATATGACAGTACGGCACACTATCCCGAATCCGGATTTGCGTCTACATTCCGGGAGAGCCAAAATATGAATAGGCGTCTGTGAAACCGGGGGCGTCGAGTCGTCTGCGAGCTCGATGCGTGAGAACGTCAGATGTCTGGATATGACGTCAAAGAAAGTCACGCACAGTTCGGCACGGCTCTCGAATTTTGCTAATTTGATTTTCGTTTTTTACCGATGTATACTGACCTATATGGTTAGATATACGATGTATTTCTGAATCATTATATTCAGTCTACTGTTGGTAGTGCCTAATTAAAATAATGTCGCGTAAATGCAAACGTCTGTGAATAAAATAATTATTTTTAAATAATATCAAGAGATTACAAAATTATGCGTTTCGATTAATACGTCTACGAGTCCAACTAATTTTATTATAAGTGTTTGTGACTACATGACATCGTTTGAATTGTCGTATAACGAAGTCAAAACGATGCACGATATGGAAGTTTTTTTTTTCAATAGTTAAATTAATATCGATAGTGAAACTTTGTATGCCCGTTAATACCTGTAATTACAACAATTTAACATAGCATCTTCGGTTATTTAGAACTGAAACTTCCAGAACGCACAACGATTACGAATTACGATATCATTTAATATTTATATTCGAGATTTTTATTTAAATTTGAGCGTCAACAATTCATAGTAAAATATAAGCCTCGATGATCAATTGGATTAAACTATTTTGCCAATTTGATTCTTGTTTTTTACAGACTACGCAAGTTGATCATTTGCGGCATACGAATGCATCAATGCGGCATTATATTAATTTGATTCTTGTTTTTCACCTATCTATTCTTGCATAAATCACGCAAATTAACATTTGCGGTATATGATTGCCTCGACGTGGCATTGAATTAAAATATTCTCGTATTCCGTATACTCCGAAGTTAACATTAACGACATATGAATGTATCGATGCCGCATTATATTAGTTTGAATCTTGTTTTTCATCGATCTATACTAGTATAAATTACGTAAATTGAACATTTGCGGCATATGAATACATCGATGCGGCATGATATTACATTATTTTGTTAATTTGATTCTTGTTTCTTGCCGATCTATTATTGTGTAAATTACGCAAGTTGATCATTTGTGGCATATGAATTAAATTATTTTCGTATAGATTAACATTTGTGGCATATGAATGCCTCGATGTGGCATTGAATTAAATTATTCTCGTATACCGTAACTTTCGAAGTTAAACATTTGCGGCATATGAATGTATCGATGGGACATTATATTATTTTGAATCTTGTTTTTTACCGATCTATACTAGTATAAATTATGCAAACTGAACATTTGCGGCATATGAATACATCGATGGGACATTATATTAAGTTATTTTGCTAATTTGATTCTCGTTTTTCGATCTATTCTTGTATAAATTACGCAAGTTGCACATTTTGTGGCATATGAATGTCTCGTTGCGGCATTAGATTAAATTATTGCTTTATGAACTAATTCATCTAATGCTATATCGAGGCATTAATTTTACTGTTTTATCGATTGTGTGTTATCACAATGTAATTTTTATTATCTCTGATCCATTTATTATCGTTAACACGCCATCCTATCTACATTGAAAATGAGAGAAACTCGACACGCCAAGGTTTACGTCGAGGAACGGCCGATGCGTGCCTGCGTGCGTCGATTGAAATTCAGTGACGTCACACGCCGTCAATCGTTTTTTGCTCATTTCTCTCGAACGCACCGGTAAAAATTTTTTTACATCGGTAGATCTGATTATTTTTTCACGAGGAATTCAATGGTGATGGTTTTAGATTGCGCTTTTTGTTAGTTTACTGCGCAGCTTCAATTTATCGATATCGGGAGACAAAATCCGCCAGACGTCCATCGAAGGAGGGATATTCGATCACCGTTAAAATAGGTTTCTCTAAAACGAGAGATTGTCTCTCGATCTGTAAAGTGTGCCGTACTGTATGACGCATCTGACGTGGTCCCAGACGCCACTTGTTTGTGAGACACATAGTGTTTGTTTTATAGAGCCAAATGGAGGGAAATTTTCGGAATTTGTATAGTGTGCTGTACTGACAATAACGAACGCCAGCGATCTCTGTCATAATTGGCATAGCTACGGCGAGACAACAAGAGAAAAAGCTTGCCAGACTTCGGGTAATCGTCTTAAATTTTGGATGGTTATCCGTATATTTCGGAGGGCCTTATTACGTCACTGTGAAGCACAGTGATGTAAAATTTGATGGCGTAGTCAGGTTGCAGGTGGGGGTTTGGAATGACACATACAAACGAAACTACACAAGAATCCTATTTCGTCGGTGCCATTCGTATTAAAAACGCACAAATTATTAATGCTGTAATGGTTTGCTACCAGTAATGGACTGACTCGTGGTTGTATTCAAAATTGACTGCAGGTAACATTCCTCTTGGACATTGTTGAACGAAATTCAAATCCCTAAATATCCAATTTGTGTATTAGTATTATCTTCAAAATGCTTCATTTTCAAGTCATCCATTTTTAGTGGTTTGCTGTTCCGTGGGAGGTCCTCATTTTCATAATATTGAAAGGGGCTATCACAAAGTTCACTGGATGAATTTAATATTATACTCGCCACCAAGTTATATCCCAAATTTTGTCTATAGATGCGGTGTATGCTGAGTATGAAATATTTTACTACAAATTAATAGCGTATATTCTTTTTGGTAGGTTTCCAGGTTCAAGAAGACGAGGAAGTTACGTGGCCATGTAAGCCACGGCCATGGTAGAGTTGGTAAGTGAATGAAAAGATTCTGAAATTGTTCAAAACTTCAAATATAACGTTGCATCTTGATTACAGGAAAACATCGCAAGCATCCTGGTGGTAGAGGAAACGCTGGTGGACAACATCACCACAGAATCAATTATGATAAATTGTAATATCAGAATTTAGTTTTTTACTTTCACTGAATGTTTGTGGACGTTAATTTATTCGTTACATTTTGTGTTGATAAACTAACGTTTGTTTGCCAAAACAAAGAATGTACAGCACTGGGGTCTAGTGTATTTTCGTACCTCAAGTACTTCTAGTTGTTTTGAAAATTGTTTCCATATGTCAATCCTAACCTCAACCTGACTGTCATCCAAAAATTAGTCACGATGATTTTATAAGGCCCTTCAAACTATACGAACTGTCATCCAAGAAGCGCACTTTTAACTGAAATCGAACAAGCTATTTTATGCGTCACAACAATCCCAATGTGAGAGCGATCTGCCGTTAGTAAGTTCTTCATCGTCGGCACAGATGCCATTACAGGCGATCAGAGGTATACCTTGGCAAGCTCTATGACACGGTTGTGACATAATTTTTGGGGGACGCAGTCAGGTGGGGGTTATGATTGACTTGTGAAAAAATCGTTATGAGTGCTTGAGGTACGAGACACCAACACTGGATGATTGTCTTATTTGGCAAGAGTTTTTTGTGTACCGTGTTACTTTGTAGATATTAAATATAATTATTACTTTAATATAAGGATTTATTACTGTTTTATAGCCATCCTGGTTACTTCGGTAAGGTTGGAATGCGAGTTTACAATATGAACCGTAACAAGCAGTATTGCCCAACTGTGAACCTCGACAGATTGTGGTCACTTGTCAGCGAACAAACTAGGCTGAACTACAAGGATAAGAAAGATGTTGCTCCAGTTATCGACGTCGTCAGAGCGGTTAGTTATATATATTCTATATTTTTTATTACTGTGACAAAGATCTGTCAACAATTACCGGTATGCTTTGAACTGAAAGGAATCTTGAGGTAAATGAACTTGCTACCAATTTGTTTGAGTAACATTTTTTGCCATAAGAAACAAAAGTGGTAATTTTCAATATGCTTAAATGGGCAAACTACAGCCTGCGGGCCAAATACGGCTCGTTGGGTAATTCAATGTTTTGATGTTTTAGCTAAAAATGTCTCAAGGAATTTATTGAGATTGCGATTTAATTTAGTTTCGTCACAAGGCTTTTTTGCTTTTGTAACACTAAGTTTTTTGTTCATAAAATTTAACTTTTATGTCATACTTACATGGCCCGCCATTCTAGATGGGCAAACTGCTCTTATGCATTCTAAAATAATAATCAAACATATATCTAAATAACAATTGCTGTCGCTACTTCTGCTTATTGCTTTGCGACATTATCTTTCTTTATTATTTTTTTATTTTTTAAAAAACATGGAAAATTGTAGACTTTGTCATGCGAGATCATACACTCAAACACCCTTCTGGTGTTTCGCAGTCTTTTCCTGTTCTCCTTTACTTCATTACTGCTCTTTTTGAATCTATGATCAAAGGCAAGAAAAGCATTACCGTAAATCACTATTTTCTCAGGACTAGTTATCCCGCTAATGTTCTGACTTAACTGATACATGTTGAATGCTCGAGATGCGTGGTTCGGGTGGTATCTCACTCGGTCGTGCGCCTGGTGACCACCAAATTGTTGGTTTCGAGTCATTCGACTACAGGTTCACTGTATTCCAATATCTGTACACTGTACTATTCGATTGCTTCATATGTCGCTGATTTTAATAGACCATATTTTTTTGTGCACAGGGATACTTCAAAGTTTTAGGCAAAGGGGTTCTTCCCAAACAACCAGTTATTGTGAAAGCAAGATTTTTTAGCAGGCGTGCTGAAGAAAAAATAAAGAAAGTTGGTGGAACATGCGTTCTTGTTGCTTAACTTTGACAATAAACAGCAAAACCAGAAGTTCTTGGAATGGTGTTATATTTGCTTTCATGTGTGTCGATTTGTGGGCACAGCATTCTAATATTTTATATCCGGGTATCGTGACAGATTAGAATGGAAAGGGTTGAAAAAAGTGAATTTGAATTCTAGCATGTGTCAAGTCATTTTCGTTCACTGAACTGGTTTCGCCTCTGTGTGATGGTGTTGGGTTGTTAACCAAATGCGAGTGTTAGTTTTGAGTAACAGTCCGATAAGCCTTAATCGCTTATAACGTTTTCCATAGTGCTGTGCAGAATCAGGTTGCCGGATTTTGAGAAAATTGAATCATTTTGTATATGTTTTCCAATTTCGGCTGACGATATAAACTTTCAGTCTATCCGTCTTACTCTTTGCCGTCGCCACACGTTTTTTTATTTCACGAAAGCTTTGCTACGCTTGAGTGGCGAAGGATTCGTCATGGTTTTGGCAGTGGCGGCGCGTCAATAGGGCCAACCGGGGCAATGCCGCGGTTGTTTTTTCGGTATAATAAAAAATATTCGAAAAATACCTCAAATCGGTTGCACAGACTGTCTACACTAGCCATATTCTCCCGACATGTTCATTTTTCGCTCGCAAAGCCTTCGCCGAACGTCGACGGGGCGACGCCGATTTTGCCCCGGTTGCTCATTGTATATCGTATTCTCTCTTTTATCTTCCACTCGCCGCGTTTGTTTTCTGTTTCTTTTACTAAATCATCGGGGGCTAGCCCCGAAATTATGACGACACAATGCCGACGTTTCTTACAACAACGTGTTGACTTAGTCACGCATTCCTTCTCGTTCGTTGGTTGCTTGAAGAGTTGATAGTTTACTCGCCTTCGTTTTTGTCGCTTGTTTCGCTATTTGAATCAGTTAGAGACCTTTAGTCCATTTGCTTTCGATTTTCCACATTCCTCTTGAGCTCCTCACATCTTTCCGGCTTCGCATTTCTTAGACCTCATAATGAATAAGGTTGATGCACTACTTCGCACTCCGTTTTCGCAGCTGCCGCTGGAACAAAAATTAGAGGTACAACGTCTTGGGCCTTATCAACCAAAAAATTGTTCACTGGAACAATCCCATGACGGAGGAAAGCGTCGGCGTACATTCTGCGCAGAAACTTGGTATAAAAAACACGAATGGTTGTGTTACAGCGAGGACAAAAATGCACTTTTTTGTTTTTATTGCCTACTTTTTGCTACCGCCCGTGACTCACGTTGGTGTAAATTTGGTTTTAGAGATCTTGAACATCTTTCCGAGCGTGCCAGGGATCATCAATCTTCTATGGAGCATCTGGACAATGCAGTAAAATACCGAACATTCGGAAATGTTAATATTGCAGCACAGTTGGATGAAGGACGCGCGGTTTCTATTCGTCGGCACAACCAAAACGTCGAGAAAAACCGCCATGTTCTCGGTCGATTGATAGATGTTTTGAAGTTCATTGGTTGTCACGAGCTGTCCCTCCATGGGCACGATGAACGGGCTGGCTCTTCTAATAGAGGGGTATTTTTGGATATGGTGGAATACACCATATTGAGAGATCATCTTGATGCCGCAACTGTTTCGCAAGGGACATCTAAAGATATCCAAAATGGTTTGCTCGACTCAATGTATACAATTTATTTACAACATTTGGCTCTGGGAATTGAGAATTGCCAGTTCCTTTCGATTCAGTCTGACGAGACAACTGACATCACGTGCGTTTCCCAACTGGCTGTGATTTTTCGGTTTGTGAAAGATGGTAAACCTACCGAGAGATTTCACAGCTTTGTACCAATCGTTGATCGCACGGCTTGCGGGATATCGGCTGTACTGAAAGAAGTGTTACAGCCTTTCAACGCGAAGTCAAAATTGATAGCTCAAACTTATGACGGCGCGGCAGTCATGAGTGGGTCGAAACATGGTGTTCACGTTTATATAAAAGAAGATTTTCCTCATGCGCATTTTTTACATTGTTATGCACACCAATTTAACCTCGTTATTAAAAATATGTGTCTTGATACCCCTCTCGTCCGTATATTTTTTGCAAATGTTTCGGGGTTTTCTTCATTTTTTTCCGTTTCGTCGAAGCTCTGACCTCCTTCGCCAGATATGTAGCCGCCGTCTCCCAGCTTGTGCACCAACACGTTGGAACTTCCAATCACGCGTGGTGCAGGGCGTGTCCGAAATTAGGTCTGAGCTCATTGAGTGTTTCAATGGCAGTCAGAGCTCTCCGGTTTGGGACGAACGCTCTGTGAGGGAGGCGGCAGGTCTAAAGCGTCTGCTAGAAGATGGTGAGTTTTCATTTTTTCTCCACAATATTCTATCACGTGGATGTATTATACGCGCATTGCAGTCAAAGCTAATGGATGGAGCGTCTGTGCAGTCGTGTATTTCATACTTCTGCGATGCCGCGGGCAAACAACGCAGCGTTTGATTTTGTCTGCAAAGGAATGCTGTGACATGCTGGTGAATCAAATAGGCGATTGTCTGCGCACTGAACACCTTGCCGCGTTCTCTTTGATGAACCCCAAAAATTTTTCAAAATTTGCACGTCAATTTCCCATCCATTTGTTGGCTACTGTCTCCAAATTTTACCCCATGATAAACGTGAGTAAATTGGAAAATGAATTGCGATGTATATACACCAATCAAATTTTTTTGAACATCACATCAACTTGCGCGCTTTATGGGTTCCTCATAGATAACACTCTAGTAACTACCTTTGCGGCGTCTGCAAAATTTCTGGACATCATTTTGACGACGCCTATTTCTTCCGCCGACGCAGAGCGAACATTCAGCACGCTGAAGCGTATTAAAACGTATCTCAGAAACACAATGAAGCAAGATAGATTAAATTCCTTGACTGTTTTATCCATTCACAGAGACGTTATTTCTGGGATGCATGACTTTAATCAGCGCGTTATTGAGCATTTTGCTTCCAAGAAACCGCGGCGTGTTGCATATATGTTCAAGCAGTAGAAGTCTAGCAGCACATATATCTATGAGTGAGCGACGCATGTCCTTATCTTTGCATTAACTTTCCTTTCTTCATAGTAACGTTTTAAACCTTATTTTAGGTTTTGTCTGCTTTCCCGAAGTTTCTGTTAATATGCCATTGTATTTATCTGGGTAAATATTGCCTTTCCTTTTGAAAGAAGTTTCAAAATAAACTATGTCTATATTTATTAATCCCTTGACTTGGACCGGTTTTAAAGACACTTTCTTATCGTTAAAAATTGTCGCTTTTGCCGATTGGTTGTTACCGATGGAATGGTTTTTATATTTATAAAATGATGGGAGAACTTACAGCGCTCATCCTGTCCTCGTAGATGGGGGTGACTTGGTCCCGCAGTAGCTTGCCCCGGTTGTCAAAATGACCACGCGCCGCCACTGGGTTTTGCTATATCTTGAAGCAAAGGAACAAGCTTTGTGTGTTTTGGTATAATTTGTGAAGGATTATATTATCATGAACAACTAAAAAGTCCGTTGAGTTAGGAATTTATCACTTGTTGCTTTTGAATTCATTTTCGAATACAAATATGTGAGTATTAAATGAATGATTGTTTTGAGAATCCTCTTTGAATTCAGCACTTTCTGACTTTTCAGCTTTTGCACTTACTGACTTCTGGACTTGTAGGTACAGAGTTACTTGTAAGTTCGTACCGGTAGTCATTATGGATTTATGTTGGGGTAATGAGTATTAAATGCCATGCCTAATTTGACTTAGTAGTGTGGACTATGCACTACGGTACCTGACTATAGTTCATTTTGGATATCCCAAATTGATCAATCAACAGCAAATCCACAATGTACAGACAGACAGATGTAGGCCATAATTTGCTCTATTCAATTTGACATATTTCATGATTTACCTGAAAATGCTGAAATGTGGTCTATATCATGTAGGTACAGAAATACCGGACCCTTGTAATCAGTTCTTGTAGCATAGATAATATCATATTACAGTATTATCAGAGCAATGCCAATATGTTGGTTTCAGTGGTGGGATTCAATTTTTTGTCAGCCGGTTCCATCACAAAAGTCATGTTTTTCAGCCGGTTCTGTTACAAAAAGTCATTGAGAGTAACCAGTAATGCTAACCGGTTCGCTGATCTCATAAAATTCCGTGAGACGATTCTATAGAACCGACTGAATCCCACCAATGACATTAAACAACAGTTGTTTAATGTCATTGATCCCACCACTGGTTGGTTTCCATACTGTGAATGATTTCCAATCACAGACTGGATTATAGTCTGATATCGTTTTAAGAATAGGCTGTTTCATATATTATTGTATTACTATTTGTTACTCTCCAGAATACTTCTTACCGTCCATGCAACTAAATATGGCAGGTTAACATGATTTAATCGTAATAGAAAAAATATTACTTTCATCCGCACTGCATTTATTGACAATCAAACCCAGGATTGCTTTATATCAAGCCATAGAAGCTTGTGTTTCGTTTTCGATATCCTATTTTCACCTGATTTTCCTTGTTAAACAGAGTTTAAACTTAATATGCAGAATGGTATAATTCACTAGGGAATTTGCTGAGGTTTGGAAATCTTTACTCGAAAAGGAGCAGGATTTTTCGGAATATTTTTCCAAAGAAACCGGATTCGGGCGGATTCTGAAATAACAAATATTTTCGGACGGATTCTGTTTTTAGCCTATCCGAACACCACTAATCGTGCAGCTAAGGGCCGTTTCATTGCAACAGGAAAAATGTAGGAAGCGGGAAGGCAACGAAGAAGTGGTTTGTGATCACGTTGAGCACAGGTGTTCAAAATAAAGATATGATTGTGCTCGCGATCGCACCTCTGATTACCCAACGTGAGTACGAATCCCATGCAGGGTTAATAATGTGCGAGAGGACTCGCAGGGTGGTTCGCGTATCCGCTGGTCGGTTACGGTTAATATTGCGTTCAGTAAGGAACTCCCATTGTACTAGATTTATTTTATGAATAAAATTTAATAGAAAGATAGGAAATTAGCACCCCGACTACTAGTTGAACCAGCTTAGAAACAGAAGTTCGGTGAATCATGTGAAAACCGTTATACAATAGAATGGCTTTTGTCGGAGTTGGAGTCTATCCGTCCGTTTCTTTGACGTGCCAATCATTCAAGTTTTTTTTTCGGAATATGTATATACATTGGAGTTAAGCCATGTCAGTTCTATTCTTCACAGTAGCGCTTATAAAATTCTGATCTGTGACGAAGAATATAATCTTTTAACGTAATGATCGGCAAATATTCGAGATTTAACCACGCATTTCAAACAGGTCCAATCATCTTTACTGTCACCGAGATGTCTTGATGGAGGTGAAGAATAAGGAAACTTTCCAAATTGAGTTTCAATGATCTGGCATGACAAGTCAACGTTGGTTATTGGACTTGACCATCATTCGTATTTATTTCCGTCAATTTTTTCATTTCTGACATTTCGTGCTTCTTTTCCTGATCCGTGGATTTCTGCGCACCCTTCTCGTGAGATTTCTTGTCCCGCTCTTCAAAATTCATACTTATCTGGTGACATGAAAAGTAACAGAAGATTAATCATAAAATGAAATGTTGTTTTATTGTAATTATTATTATAAACACTCCAACTGCTAGTCCTAACGCAATGGCTTTGAGATCGACTGGAAGGCGCGATGATACAATAAGCAGAACACAAAGGGCGTGAAGAAAAAATTTAAGAACTCACAATTGAACACAAAATAAGTTCCAAAATAGTATTTACGCAGCAATTTAAGTTTAGAACAAATAAAGCAAGTTACCTTTATTAGTCCTGACAAAATGGCTCCAAGAAATAATATACCGGCGCTTATGAACAGTGCTGTACTCGGCTTGCCTGTGGCATCAACAGCCAATCCTAAAAATTGAGAATACTGTTTTGTTCCGCGTGCTTGCATAGTCACATTTTTTCTGTAATTTTCCTATACAAGTTGTCTAATGATGATTGATTTTACGCCTGTAAATTACTATAGCCTGGAAACAGTGGTGGGATTCAGTCGGTTCTATAGAACCGTCTCACGGAATTTTATGAGATCAGCGAACCGGTTAGCATTACTGGTTACTGTCAATGTTCTGTTTGTAACAGAACCGACTGAATAAATAAGACCCATCACAATTTAGAACAGTGATACCGTCACCGCTCGCGTAACGTTATATGTATATCTATTGATATATATATATATACGAGACATTTTCAGATCAATTCAATAATTTATTACACTGTTATAAATTAAAAATGTAATTCACGACCTAATGATATCTTTAAAATACTTTTTAATAAACCCAATATATGTTTAGTGTCGACTCATGAATGCAATCAATATTCTCTCACCAACTGCAGGTGGAGTTAGAAGTGTGCCGAACCCGTTCAACAATGTAGAAATTCCAAGTGCTGGAGCATATAATTTTAGACCAACAATATCTGCAAGAATAACTACGGACATTCCAGAGAATCCACCCTGCCATTGATAACAATGTTAACCATATGAGTTGAACACGTCCTCGGAAAGAATGAAAACTTGCACAATGGCAATAAAATTAGAATATAACTATATGACAGAGGATCGATGAACTAACTCTGTCGCAGGGTGCTTCACGTAACCGCTTAGCCATTAAGCAACCTGAAGCAAGAACGGAGCAACTATTCCCATACCCGATACGGACTAGTAACCGGAGGCAGTGATTTGCCATAATATGTTTAAGCCGACTTTCATCTACCTCGGCATAAATATGAAAATATTATCCTATAAGCAAAATACATCCTATTTTCACTCAATATCTTTCATTCAAATAAGTAGAATTTCAAATTTTTATAATCAATTTATTTAGGCATAAGCCGCATAACTTCCAAACCTCGAAAATTTTCTGGATAGTGTGATTCATCGCATACCTGGAACAATCCTGTTAGAGCTGTAATAGTTGCCAAACTTGCAAAAGTTTTCATAAATGGCAATATGGTTGCAAAGACAGACATTATGAACAAAACTCCAGAAAACAGCCAAATTCTGTTAATCCTAAAATTTAAAGTAGCTTTTATTGATATAGTTATTGCGAATCATATTCAAGCCATAAAAATCTTTTGAAAGTCGTTCTGAATATCCTGACTCAAATATTGCACGGAATTTATCACCAGATCAATGAGCAAAACGATTACCCGTTAAAAATATTTTTAAGTTAGAGCTCATTTCTTGATATATAAACGTGAATATAAAATTAGATTACAATTTTGATGATTGATAAAAGAAGGCAATAGGACGGAAAACGTATAAATATTTAAGATTGCACAAATAACAAACCATAGATTCATAAATACGCAGCAAATTTACTAATATTTCAGTGTTTGAAACTTTTGTAGGAATACTTGAATGAGGGGCGGTCTGTGCGTTAAAATAGCGTACATACTTCTCTAAATCTCCCAGAAATCCGAACATCAGTCTGGAACCGATCTCAATGAACGCACCAATAGACATCAATAAGGAAGCTTCAATTTTCGGTAAACCTACCTAGAAATTTAAACGAGCGTAACATTCAGCAGGGACATGGCATTTTATTTCTCCACCCACATTGTTTGAAAATGTGCAAAACCTCACGTTGCGATTAAATGTTAAATGTTGCAAAGTTAAAATGACCTTCGAATAAATGGTTCTTTGAGTAAGATCAGTCAAGCGAAGACTATACTTAGCCGATTCCACTGTTCTTCCATGCCTTCATAAGCCAAATCATGAAAAAATATGTATATAATTATTTTGAATAGCATTACATTGTAGATATATATTTGAGAAACAGTTACCGAACAAAATCATTGAAAAAGTTATTTCTTACCTCTATAACAGCATACGGTACGATATACAATTGATTGCATAGAAATCCAGCTAAAAATACAACTTGCGATACGCAATATATAATATATGATCGGTTTCGCAAAAGTGGAGAATTTATGAATTTAGCCCAACATGTGTCTTCGTTTTTCTTATTTTTGTCAGGTTTTTCTTCGTTTACCTATATGTATATAATTAAATATGGTATAGGTTACACTGAAGTAATAGATATATATGTTCAATTACTCCCCTGCAAATAATGCAGTATTGACTTCAATACAACAATTCGGGACCACTGTTGGAGACGAATTCGGGTGCCAGTTCAAAACACAAACCAAAATCACATATTGATGTGTCGTAATAGTAAAGCACGAGAGGAGTAGCATCCCTATAGATTGCAGACAGACAGATGTTATGTCGATGAAGGTGGAGGACATTCGGAATTTCTTCAGCTTTAATTAACTGATCTTCAGACAAGCATAGATTTGAAGCAGTGACGGGATTAAAACTTTTAAGAACGGGTTCTATTTTATATCGAACTCACTAACAACAGGTTTCCTCATTTCAGAAAATGCACGTATGTCGTCACTGCGTAAGCTGCATCAATATCACAAGCTCCAAGTTAATCTAATATAAATTTCGGAACGCCAAATATAACGTTGATCTATAGCTGCGGTGCACGTTACCCCATTTGCTGCGACCTCTAACGTTTGAACCAGAGAACGAGGGTTCGCTGATTATCAGGCATTCAAAGAACGAGTAGGAAATACAATGTGTGCAATAAAGTATAGGGGAAAACCAGTGCACCCCTTAGATTTAGCGTCGGGACCAAGGCGGCGGCCGCACAGTTCGCAGTGATCTAAGGCCTGAACCGAGGTCGTGTGTAACCATAATTATGTGATTATATTTATACTCCAATATTATATTGTCGCGACCAGAACATACCTGTGCTTCCTTGTCTTCCACTTTGTCAATCAACTGTGATAATTCAATTTCATCTTCTTCATATTTTTTCGGTATTTCATTGTCATCGTCAGATGTCCTTTGTTTATCATTCTCTGGTGCTGATTTTTCAAATTCTGTATTTTTTTGGATTTCATCAACAGCGTCAGTACGTTCCAACAGTGTTTGAACTTCCTCTTTATCAGCTACCTCAGCCCCCGGGGCTTTAGGTGGCGGCCTCATCAGGGCTCCGGCAACACAAATGTTTAAAAACACCGCACTAAATGCCAAAAAATAGCCTCTTATAGTGTAAGCGTCAGTTATGACTTGGTTGAGAGGACAAACAGCCAGTGTTCCTACGGAAGCCCCTAGGAATAAAACACGAATGAAAACGTTACGTGAAAACAAGGCACATTTTAATTCTTAAACTTTTAAAAAGCCTCCACACTGCCTACTGCACACACGATCAATCAAGAAATTGAGACAAGTGCTCACGGTGCACTTCAACCAGCTGTTTGTCGATAACAGGTTAGAAATATTGTCTGAACTAGATGGCTTTGAATAAAATATAGTAGCTGATTAAAATTTATTTCATTACATGAAGTATTTGCTTTTGTTACTAAGAACAACAAAACTTACAAACCAAGAAATTTTAGCAAATTATTGAACATAACCAATGGTAATCATGCAGAAACGATTCCTCGCGGCTCGCGCGCATTCGTGGCGCCTTCAGTCTTACGAAACTCAATGAAATATATGATGTAGCACACTAGTTTTATGAAATTATTTTAATTAGGTCTGATATGACGGCTGATATAATGCCTGTACATCGGGCAAAACTTTTTTCTATAAAGCGGAACTACCGTAGCCTTTCGTTAAATAGCTCACGCAATGAGTATTACGAGAATATATTACGCATGTATATTTTGCATTATACATGTTACACAATGCATCTAATTACAAGTTATGTTCGCCAATATATAATCTAAGGCCGGTCTTCAGAAAAACGTACCGTGAACCCAAGATATTTGATAGTGAATTTATGTGCAAACAACATTTAAATTAGAACGGTCAATTAGAATCAAGTAGGATTGTGCGAATTTTAGTAACTATTATTCTGCGTTGTCAAGCACATTGCTCACAGTTAGACAGTTTCATTTGAGGTGGGGATGGTATATGGAAATGCTAAACTTAAAAAAATGTTCAGCCATCAATTTTTTCGAATTTGACATTTTGGGCGGTCTTGGATATGGTTGGATAAGACTATAAGTGTTACAACTCCTCGGTTTGAAGCTATACGACATTCGGCTTCTTATTGGTATTGTTGAATGATATTTAGCACGGTACTTACCAACGCTGGCGATATTGATTGCTAACGATCTCCTTTTTGTAAAGTAATGGCCGATGATAACCGGTGTAGGCACAAAAGCAATTCCCATTCCAATACCTTGAATAACCGTAAACCAACAATGTGAATAAAAACTAGAGGTTAAATCGGGACTACAGCTCAAACTACAGTATCTGGTTTGCACACATCCTGCTGCATTCGCGTGTTGTGTTGAACAAAATCTGACAACTTTATAAATGATGTCATCAAAATGTGTCATATGCGCTTCAGGAAATATCAGTATAAAAAATCGACGATAAATATATCAGCAATTTTTTATATTAAAAATATTAGTATAGGTTGAATTTGACAATGGCTATCGGCCAAAAATATAATGCACATACAAATCTATATAGCGTCATTGAAATCTGACCATACGAACCTGTCAAAATCCCAGCAGTAAGATCAAGAACTAGTAAGGTAGGGGCAAATGAAGCAAGCAATGACCCTAAAGCTGCTATGGAGCCACCCAGAATAACAGTCCACCTGTGGCCAAGTTTGGAAATCAGGGGTGCTGCCAGAACTCCTGGATTGTAAAAAAATAAATGATGTCAGATAGTTCTCGGAATTGGAAACACGGAAAATTGTTTCTGAGGAATCTTCTAATGACTGATTCCAATAGAATAATAGGTTTCTTTAAAAGGAAGTATACCTGCGAAGGAGAAGCCACCAGTCGCGATTGAGGAAACCCACGCAACATCAGAGAAATCAGCCTGAAACTCCTCAACGATGTAAACAAATAACACGCTCTGGCATCTAAAACAAATATATACCTTCAGGTTTATACTATTAAATCCGCATCATTCATATCGGTCGCCTTATTATAGACAGCTAGGGTGCATAGAATTCGCATAGTCTACCACAGGGGTGCTCAACTGGGGAACCGCGGTCCGAATCCGGACCTTTCGATCATTCAATATGGACCGTCTGCTTATTTATTATGGCAGCATGAGCCTCATTTTATAGTTTTAGATATCATTTACATACACAACTACACAGTTTGTCGTACTGGTATCGATGTGCGACATTTGTATCCATATTTGTGAATTATTTATTGCTGTTGTATTTAATTTAATATTGGATTTGAATTTTCGTTTATTAAATGAAATGAATTTTCTGTAATGTCCGGACCCCAGTAAGTTTGAAGTATTCTAAATGGACCTTTGGTAAAAATAGTTGAGTAGCCCTGGTCTATCATACCAGCTGTACCATCTAAGAAACTGTAGCTATATTAGTTAAGTGTCCTATTTTAGGCGTGTTAATTATCCATCTAGTTTAGTTTCCAAATAAATAAAGCATCTGTTAAAAATCGTGTTATCCTAAACTATTTGACTCAATTCGGTGCATTGAAAACAGCACCGCAAATATGAGATTTCACATCCAATATTATTATAACAAAAATAATCTACAATGGGAAGCGCACGTATAACGCTAGTTTAGTGAATAATAAAATAAATCTCCAAAAAGTGTTACTTTTTTAGATCCGTTAGATCCGTATATCATCATAACGAAATTAAAAATAATTTAGATAAAAATACTAAATATTGTAAATGTGTGTGACTGGGAAACGAACTGTAGTTTACTATCGTGCTGACAGTGCCAACACCAATTACAGTAGGATGAATCGTCAAATTTTAACGATGATGATCATTTTCACATAGCAAACAGGATGTTATTAATTTGCATTCAAAACAAATTTTGCAACGCATATCATGAACGCCCCATTTAATAGTAATAAGCATAGGCTACAGAATATGAAAGCGATTGATAGCCAAACGAGATTTAAAACTCGGGATCCGGCCCGCGACGCTTCACTGAGTTATAGTAACAAAACAGCAGTTTTGACGATTGTATTCTTTCCGTAACAAAATTTATTGTGAGACACGTGTAAACTGAATTATGTTATAATCTAACAAGTAGGAAATTCACAATTACTCGTTTAATGAGTCAATAATTTAATTATGATTAGACAAATGGCAACAAAACGCAAAAAATTGAAGCTAAGTGCAAAGGGTTCAATGACGCCGAAAATATTCAAATGGAATTTTATGAGATGCAATGAGGAAATAAATCTATATTCTATTCGAAAGATGTATCACTGCTTGATTTTTAGTATAAAAAGTATCATTCGTTCCGTTTTCAACTTCGTAAAAATATGTCCGGCTCTCCAATGACTTGCAACCATTAATTTTGGCCCGCGAGCGACAGAAGGTTGTCGACCACTGGGTTAGACACTAAATGAAAATCAATGTGTTGCTAGAAAACTTCGCCTACATATATTCGTATTAAAAGATAGTCAAGTTGCTAAATGAACCTTTGTAGTAATAGCAAGAAGTACGTAATATTCAGAGTAATCAATCAAGCATCCAAATAAACACACAAAATACATGTTATGGAGTTTCGCGTAGTAATAGGTAAAGTGCACAAGCAATATACAAACAGCATCAAGTGTACCACAGTCTATGTACATACGCGATTCCTATTTTCTATTTGTGGTTTCAAAACTAAATGTTGGGGTACTCTTCATAGGTTTCTTGGAAGTTTAACATTGTTCGCCAATTAGCTACTCAAAAAATTAACGAGTATTCCAACACTGAACAATGATGAATGCGAATATTGTTTCAAGCCTAATCCATTGATAGCCATGTGGGATTTTTACAAAGAAAAATTGAGGAAAAAACATAAAGAGCGTAACGGCCCGCCGCTTTGTCTACGTGGATAATTACGGAATATGAAGCCATTGACGGATTTGAATTGCCGTCATTCCCAGGAAACGATATTTTGACTTACTGTATTTTTTAAAGGCAGGAATCACTTTGCCGTGTCAACCATGTCGCGATCAATTTATAATATACTAGAAGTTGCGCAAAAACCAATACAATTTATAAATTTCATTCAAAATAAAATTTATGAAAGCAAAAAACAATCAAATTGAACGGAGCTGTTACTTATTGCCGATATATGCCCCATATTTCTATGCAATCATAGAACTAGCCTTGGTCTCGCCTGCAGCTCGGTATCATAATTACGATAAAAATGTTGCGTAATTATCCCTGGTAGACTAATATTGATGTACCAATTCAGTATAACAGTCGAATCAATCAGCCCGGTGGCATCATTGCCGCAGGCGCCACATGTACATTCCGCGGATGAGGTATGATACTACAATAGTGTACTGACCTTAAAGATCCAAATACAATCAAATACACTATTAATCCAGCAACAACGACGACCCATCCCCAACCTCCATCGAGTTTGGCTTCTGGATCCTGTTTCGTCATGTCGTCAATGATAAGAAATGAGCCCCAATTTTATACTACCACCGTATGGCATACAATAATGAAACCTGCAATAAACATATATAAAACGACATTACATTACACATATATGTAAGTAACAAATAAAAACGATATAACGAAGATAAAAAAAACTGAGTTGGGTTGCGCGAGACTAACTTCCTATCTTCTTTTTTTGTTGTTGTAAACTGCTTGTCTGAGGAAGTCTGACTCTGGTCGGACGAAACGTTACAGAAATACATTTGTGTTAGTGTGCAGCTGGACTCTTTATTGAATAGAATAACGAAGAAAATGCAGCGTTTTGACTTCGAGTCGATAGTTTGTATCCCGTGATAGGCATGTGATGTCGGTTTGCAACTGCATAGTTTGCAAGAACTGCACTATGCTCACAAGTACGACATGTGTAGCTTTGCCCAAGAAACGAGGCCAGGTGAAAATTACGATATGCCATTATCGGCAATATTCTCATGGTCGCTAATTTCACAAACAACCGAAAAGCTATCGTCTCTCATAAACCATTCCGGGCCTCCCTACTAAACCTTTTCGACTCAACAAGCGTTGGAAAATCGCTCTCAAATGGTAACACCAAGTTGACTTTAAGCTCTGCTGCGTATTGTTACGGCCTCGTCATCCCCGATCACTGGGCACAGGACAGACTGCGTTCGTGCAAGGCCGTCGATTATCGCAGTGTGTCTATGAGCCGCAATGCACAGTGTTTCGGAAAACTGTAACAAAAAAAGAGCAGACCAGACTACCACGGATTGAACGATACCCGATCGAATTTGCCAACACAGGTGCTTGGAGTGCGATTTCTAATTAAATTGCCTTTGCCCTAAATACTTTCCATTAACACTACCGCAGGTAAAAGTGAAACTAAACGAAAACTATCCAAGAACTGCGGATGTTGTCTGTTAATCCATTTGTTGCGATTAGCAGAGCTTGACCAGAAACGACCCAATATGGCCGGGTCAGGTAGGCGAAAGAGTATGAATAGAATAGATTTCCATTGGATCTCCTCATCGCGACTACATATATGAATAGCTTGCTCGAAATGCTCTGGGGAAGTGGCAGTCAATGAATTTTTCCCAGAGCATCGATTTCCTTGTTTATTTCCGTAACAATGACCAACCAGAAAATCAACGATGACGTACAATGCAGCCTCTCAGACACTGCGTTTGCTTAGAACGGGAGTCACCAAACATTTTTGACCAAGGCCAGGTATGACTCAAACTGTGTTGAAAACGGCCGGACAAATATTTTGTCAATGCAATTTAATAAATTCACAAATCCAATAAATTTATTCAATGATATAGGGCAGGGTTGGCCAACCTGCTTTCGACTAAAATCTTCAAAACAGCTCGCGATCGACTGATCGGTAATAAGGTCATACACAAAAACGAATGAGTACTGAATATGCAGATAACTGCACATATACAAAAATTCCACCGCTGCCAAAAAGCTCGACTCTGTGGGCGCATTCTTAATGAAATCGCCACAAACTTTGTATTTTTTATGCTTCTTTTAATTTGGTATTTTGATTATGTAATTGTACCCGGAGTAACTGCTTCATCATTTATTTAAGATTTATTCAAACCTTACAATTCAGATCTAAGACCTGCCTAATTTTAAGTCGTTGAAAATTCCTTATAAAACCTTGACAAGTATTAATGTAATATCTAAACAGCGAAAAATGAATATTTTCAAACCATAATTAATGTTACATGGCTGATCAAACTTCAGTAGCCTTACAATTTCTTCCAAGTCCGATTCTTCACTCGCATGGAATTAGAAAAAATAGGGCATTCTGATGCCACTGTTACCGTTGCGAATAAAATTTATCACACAAATCTTGGACTGAGACAATAATTTTGCGTACCGCAAAAGCTATTGCAGTATCGTTTGTCACAGTGATTTCCCTACACCCCCCTATAGGGGGTGAACACCCCCCTAAAATTTCAAACACCCCCCCTAATTTTGAGGTGCGATTCCACACTGAGGGGTTCTAAACCGCAGTCTGCGGGCCAATTACGGCCCGCGTAACGATTTTAAATGGCCCGCCGAACTTAAGTGAAATAGTTTAACCCTTCGTGTGGTACCTTTTGAGTTTTAGATACCGTCTATTGTTACATCATTATCAGTTTAAGCACGTTTATTTCATAACAATTGAATTATTCTGGTATCTTATGTATAGGTATGGGTATTATGATTACACACTGCAGTATTTTAGATATCAGCCATATATTAAGAAAGCTTAAAGATGTCACAAAACGAAAACTAGGCACTGAAAACAGACGTTTTTTAGATGGATGACAGCGTTTTTATTTCTTCATTGAAAAGAATCAAACTTCAGCGATTTGTCTTCTTACAAAATATTTCAGTTCTGAAGGAATACAACATTATGCGACATTATGATCAGTTGACGAGCGTATTTCAAAATTTGATTCATACAAAAGTCAAACAAACATGTTCAAAAAAATTAGAAATGTGTAACAAAACAAGCCATAAGTAGCCATTCATACAATGCCAGATGAGCAAGTAACTTCATTAGTCACTATCAGTTGCAAATTACTTGTTGAAACGTAGTAGTATATATTTACGGTTGAAAGCCCTGCTTGTTATCTATTCCCCGAGAATTCTATCAGCTAAATATTATAATTATTGATTTTATTACATAACAAACTGCGATGCTAGGTGTATCTAAAATCAAGCTTAGAGCCTATTTTGGTGCCTATTTCTCAAAATTTTCTCAGGGCGCTTAAGCGCGCCCTGAACCCCAGCCGTGTCGTCCCGCACTTTTCCTCGCTCCCCTTTTCTGGCCCTACACTTTCATTCTGCTGTGGATTTTGGCTCGCCGTCAATAAACTTGCCCCCCCTATACATCGTTTCTTAAATACATACCATTTTTTTAAGAATACAAATAGCCTAGTTTTATCTCTAATAGCAAATTATTTATCACCCCCTAAATTTTGAAATAAAAATGAGCAAAATCATACACAAGTCTCTTCTGCACTCCACTCTTCATACTTAGTTCTCATGCTTACGCTTACTCATTGTCTAAACTAAATTATGGTTTGGCCCTAATACAGTATTCCTCAAAACTAGTAGCAAATATTGAAACTGTGTCACAGTTTGACTGAAACACACCGCAAACCCTACCGTTAACAGAAACAGTTCGCGCTGAGATTGAGCGAGTCCGAGACATGAGGCCACGGTGGAACGTGGATAATTGATATATCACAATGATAACAGAGAAGCGCGAATAAACATCGTCTCTCGTATCCACGGAAGCTTTGTACGGAAAACAAGAACGAGTCATCCATGTTTCTAACGCAAAATAAGCACGCAACTCAAAAATAAGCACTTTTCTTAGAAATAAGCATATCTTTACTTTATAAGACGGGGGTTAGAAAATAAGCACAAATCTTAGAAATGAGCCCGATATGGTAACTCTGGGCCGCATTGGCCTATAATCTAAATGTCTGAAGTCTTGAATATTAAATTCTATATCGCAGAATCTAGATTCTAGATCAAAAACATCATAGCAAACAAATATACAAAATTTCTAGACAACTATTCTGAGGTTAACTGTTAGCAAAACAATTGCTGTCATGAATTACCGAGTGTAAGCAGTACAAAAGTTTGGATTTGGGGGGGGGGGGGGTAAACAGCGCAAAGGGGCCCAAGCGGTTATAATTTAGAAATTTAAGCCGCAAAACCAAAAGCTGCATTGCAAAACCAGTAATGCACATCTTATAACGTTGATGTTAGTTCTGCTCAAATCGTTTTGTTACGTAACAATGTGAGGGAGTCGATTTTCGACGTCTTGTGGTTTGATCGCACCGGAAAAATTGCGAAGGCTGTCAGAATGATGTCGAAAACAAAACCTCTCAGTTGCGCACAGAAACGCAGAAAAAGCACAAGAGAAGGCACAAGATGAAGCACGTATGAAAAAAATTGAAGTAACCAGGATAAACGGCAAATTTTAGGTTACCATTGCCGTTTAATAGCGACATGTAGTGCTTTTTGACGGAATAAAAAAAGCGTTGTTCTAGCTTATGTCCGAGAGTTTTTAGGGTCATTTCCACGAAATATTTTTGCGGGGGGGCCCACGAGAGTCTTGCTACGCCACTGCGAGGAACGTACATAGCAACAGTGTACGGGTGTACAGCGCCACGAGTGCATCCTTCGCAGAAAACGTTGCATGATTGTTGCGTACCGATAGAAGCAGCGTTTCCCAATCTTTTTTGGCCACGGAACACCAAAAAATGGAAAGCTAAAATTGGTAAAGAAAAACGGTGTAATGTAGCGGTTCCCAATGGGTTCGCCGTGACGAGTTGCCAAATGCGCCGCGAAAACTAACAGAATTGTGTTAAACCGTAAATATATACTACTACGGTTAAACATACCTGAAACATGATTGAATATTTTACATATTGCATTTATTATAAATTTTTTATTGTTTCTTAATTTAAATGCTGTGTATATGAATCAATAGGTTCCATTACATTTGAACCCACGTACATTTGAACCCATGACAATTGCACCTGTATGCTATTGCACCTATGGAATTTTTTTTGTTTCACGGATAGTTAAACCCATACTAACCCTAACCCATGGGTTTTAGCACCCGCATATAGATTGAACCCGTGGATATACGCATGGGTTCAAATGTACGGTCACCGAATCAATAAATTCACCAATTCACAATTTTTTACCTGTCTATGTCGTTTACTTTCCATCACGTAGTGTTTGCCTCCAATGTTACCTCTAATGGAGATAAAAGTACTTGCTGCAATTTCGCGAGCTGCAGTTTATTTATCTGCTGAATTGAATTTAGCGAACATGAGTAATTTTTCAGCATTTCATAGTAAAACCAGGCAGAGACGGAAGAAGAAGAGTTAACCTTTTGCCTTTATTCTTTAGACCTACTTGTTTGCTCATAACAAAACCAAAAAGGATTGCTGTAAACTTGGGGTTACCATATTTTTGTGACCTCAAAGCGGGACGCCTCCAAAGGCCATAGCTGTGTTTTTTTCAACTTCAAATTTACCGATTTTATATTAGGCACACATTTAAAACCATCCCGGCTGTTTTCATTGACTATATTGTCATCGAGAGTGCATGCGGTGTCTGTCTAAAAATCGGTTTCAATTCAATAAATAGAAAGGACTTTACGTTAAGCGCCCTTTTGGCGTCTGCTGGGGCTCACACGTCCATTCAAGCATGGTTGTAAACATTGCCTCGTTTTGCGTGTTATTTGTCAGTTTTCAGTTATGTTTCTAAATTTAGTTGTAAATGATGTAATTCAATAGTCATCATGTATTCCAACGAGCTTTCGTTTTGTTGCAATAATCAAAAATTAGTCTCGGAAAAGTTGCCATAGACTACTAGGCTAATATTAGCTACCAGTAGCTGTAAGCGTCACGTAGTTGTATATTTCATTAAAAATGATGGTTTTGAGCATGCAAATCAATTTGCAAGCGCCGATTCCCCAAGACAAATGCAAAATAAATAGGCATTCAAAATTTTGCAAGAGTGAAGTACAGTATATATAGGGAGAATTTTCTGGGGTCAAGAGTCAGGTCCCATACACGGGATTCGTGAAATATTGTGAGGTAAATAGCGAACCAATCCCACAAGATGGCCATGATGACACGTGATGAACTTGCTCAATCATTTTGCATGGATTAGATACACTGAATTAGAAATATATATATATATCTGTGATTAGAAAGCCAGGTCTCACTAAGGCCGGCACCAAGCAGCAGTATTTTTATTGCGACGTAATATCTTTTTATAACCCTTATTGATAATTGAGAACACACACACGTGAGATTTCATTTCTTTTTTTAATTTAATCACTAATGAAGTGAATTTATCGAAGCTCTATGTATTCCAGTACTGACTGTTTGTTTCCCCGAGCATCGACTTCCTTGTTTACTTTCGTAACATTCGCTAATAAACAAAATGCGAAAAGTAATTGCTCAAGCCAGTGAGGATATTATTACTTAACGCTGAGATAAAGAAAGGGCTATTATTACATTTTGCGGTACCTGGAGTTTTTGAACCTGGATATGTCTGCACCGCCAAATGCGGATGGAAATGATGATTTGTATGTCTTCAAAGAAACTGAAAAATAAAATTATATCGGGTCTAAATTAAACTTTGATTTTGAATGTGATCAGAGATGCCATGCACAGGTTTTGCGAAAATATTGAAACTTCTGTTGCGTGTTTGCGTAAATTATCTGTTACAATGAAGTTCAGCATAAACTTCTGGATTATACAAACAAGTCTAGAACGAGCAAAGCAACAAACAAAACATATATTGAACAACGTCGTGCGAAACCAAAAAAATTATATGAAATTGACGTGCAGCCTGAAGAGAATTTTCAAAGTAAATTCAAGCCAAAATCACTACTACCTTCTTCCGCAAAATGAGGTCTCTTAGATGTTTTAGCGGCAATAGCTTACGCAACTTGTCCGAGAATGCCCATTTAAGGATGCCAAATAGAATTAGGTTTGACTAGGTGGCGAAAGGGTGCCTTGAGTGAGCTGATTGCATACGCCCAGGATACCTGATTGACTAGCCCAAACCAAGATCTTGAAGATTTTGTGGGACGGGAAAGTCCTTTATAGCATTAAGGATTTTACTGAATGGGCTTATTCCTGAGTTGGTTATGCGAAATCCTGCAAATGTGACATTGTCCTTGCAAAATTGGAATTTGGCCATTGTTAGCACAGAGAGTTAAGTAGTCCCATACATGGAAAAATGCAAATTACACGTCATCATCATATAAAATCACATCATCTATACATTTGACTTTGCTTTGGTCATCTTTGATGAGCTCATCGTAGCGGTGTGTGTAAGCATCGCCTGACGCAAGATGACCTTGGGGGAGCCGTCGGTAGCGGTATCTACCCCAAGGAGTGATAAATGTGGTATGGGGACGACTGTCCACGTCTAATTCAATAGAATGGTCACCATCGGTAGCATCTATGATGGTCTTCTTGGTTTGTGGTGGAATTTGGCATGCCAGCACAAAGGGGGGCTTGCAATGATGCGTTTCACGTTTGCATTGGGAATTCAGATATTGCAGATCTATTGTGCGTCGTGGAGACCCATTTTTGGGTACGATAATCATTCTACTACACCAATTTACAGCTTCTCCAATTGGTACCTTTTCCAGAACTCCACTTGCCACGTCCGAATCAAGTTGAGATTTGATTTGTTCCATCCAGCATAAGGGAACTGGTATGGGTGAATGATGTGCTCTAGATGTTGCATCCTCTTTTAAATGAATATGGGCAGGTTTGGTTTTCATTGCGGGAAGCACCAGAGGTATTGAAAGTGCTTGTGGAAAAGGCATCCTTTATATAGGTTTCTAGCTTTTCGCACAGATTGTTTTCTGATGGCAAAAAAGGCAAGCATGCATCGGGACCCAAAGCAGCTGTGAACAGTGTCGTTCTGTACTGCCTCGTGCGATGATTTATCAGTCTTGGATGATGGTTGTTGAGTGGCATCCATTGGAAATGGGGATGATCTTAAGTTTGATGCATGTGTCCCTGCTTAGATATGCTCTTTTAATCTTAGAACAAATATAAAGGTTTGCCTGTGCACTGTGTTTACCATTAGAGAATGTGACATTGGCGTAGGAGTGACAAGTTAACCTGAAATTTCCAGCTGTGTGTACAATTTTTTTACACGGTGTTAGATCGCATTGTCGTAGACCAAATGTAGTTAGAAGGCCCAATCTTGCCAGGCATATATTGGCTCCACTGTCTGGATAAGTTGAAATGCGCTTGCTGAATTGGTGACTGTTGATGGCTGTTATGGTGGCATTGACGAAGATCTCGGTTGTGGTTTTGCCCTGTTCTGAGTGATTGGCAGATGCTATTAATGCCATTGCAGAATCTTTCTGTCGACAAACTATGGCGAAGTGATTCACTATGCCACATATTTCGCACGCCTTGCCAAACGCTGGGCAATAGAGCTCCCATCTGGTTGAATGAACTGTGTTCCTTGCTGCCACAGTCACTGCATTTCAAAGGCACAGGTTTGGTGAGCTGCCTTTGGTTGCGTCTGTAATTTGAGGATCTTATTCGGACAGCCATTGCAGTGTTCTCAGGTTCATGTAAAGCTGATTGATTCTTTAGTACCGCCCCATGAGCCTTGGCATGCTTGACTGTGTCGTCAAATGTCTTAAGGATGGCAGATTTGGCTAGGATATCAGCCTGTAGGATGTCATCTGGGAGTGCCCTGACAAAGTGATTCCTTGCAGCTTCTTGTGAGAAGTCGTATTTGCATTTCGTACAGCTGTATTCGCAGTCTGTAACAGCCTCAAGAACCCTTTTGACCAGATCCTGTATTGATTCTCCATCTTGTTGCATAATTGCATGTAGCTTCAGGCGGAAAACAGATGGGTTAGATTGTTGGGTTACCAGTTCTTTAAGTTTGCTGATGATGGCCTGTTCACTGAGTTTTTCAAATTCATCACTGCCAATGTTGTGGACGATGATGTTCTGAACAGTTTCATCGCAACAGTTATACAATTGGCAATGTATTTGTTCTGGAAACATTCTAGTCCATTTGCAGTGAAGAGCTCACTGTATATGATAGCTTGATCTTCCGGAATACCAGCTTCCACAAGAAACTCTCCCCATTCTTCTTTTGCTCGCAGCGCCATGAACAAAGTATTATCTTTATTATCACAGGTTGTATTACAAAGTTAATAAAATGAATGTTAGTATGCATTTGAGCAAATGTTAAAACAGAAAGAAACGTTATAGCAAATAACACAATGAAAGTATATTTCTACAGCCGCTGTAAACCATTGCTGTTACCTATTAAAACGGTTCCATTACATTTGAACCCACGTACATTTGAACCCGTAATTTGAACCCACGACAATTGCACCTGCAAACTATTGCACCTATCGAATTTTTTTTTTACGAATATTTGAACCCATACTAACCCTAACCCATAGATTTTAGCAACCTCATATAGATTGAACCCGCGAATATACGGGTGCAAATGTATGGGTTCAAATGTATGTGGGTTCAGATGTACGGTCACCATTAAAACATATCAAACTTGATTGTAATTCGATTTTTTAAATTAATCATTCCGATGGTAAAATCAATACACTAGTTGGTAAGTATCCTGAATTGTCTTCACCCGGATTGGGTTGTGCAAATACTGATGCTAAATTGGAGATTAATGACAGCGTTAAAGCCTAAATTTTATAAACCACGGCGTGTACCTCTGGCACTCAAAGAATTGGTCGAAGCTGAACTTGATAGACAAGTTGAAATTGGTGTTTTGGGGCCATGTAAACCATCCGATTTGGCTGCACCCGTGGTTACTATATTAAAATCAGATCAGAAATCAGTTCGGCTCTGTGGCAGCTATGACTTGACTGTAAATAAAGCATTCTTCGCTACCAATATCGTCTTGTATATATGAAATATCAAGTTTCCTAGCTATATTCCAAATTCATCTTGAAGCACTACTCGTTGACATACCAGGAGTGAATGTTTTCCAAGACGATATTGGAGTTACCAATTCTTTTGATAAGGAACACATAGCCAAATTGAAAAAAGTTTTCAGGCATCTTACAAATGAAGGTCTAAAAATTAATCCAAACAAATGTAAATGGATGGTGTCTGAAATTTAATATTTTGGTTATTGCATAAATAAGCTTGGAGTTCAACCAATTGAAGATACTGTTCTAGAAGCCCAAGAACCACAAAATATACATTAGCTGCGCTTATATCTGGGCATGCTCATGGGCATGTTTTTTCGGTATAATAAAAAATATTCGAAAAATACCTCAATATCGGTTGCACAGACTGTCTACACTAGCCATATTCTCCCGACATGGTTCATTTTTCGCTCGCAAAGCCTTCGCCGAACGTCGACGGGGCGACGCCGATTTTGCCCCGGTTGCTCATTGTATATCGTATTCTCTCTTTTATCTTCCACTCGCCGCGTGTGTCTCGTTTGTTTTCTGTTTCTTTTACTAAATCATCGGGGCCGATCGGGGCTAGCCCCGAAATTATGACGACACAATGCCGACGTTTCTTTCAACAACGTGTCGACATATTCACGCATTCCTTCTCGTTGGTTGGTTGCTTGAAGAGTTGATAGTTTCCTCGCCTTCGTTTTTGTCGCTTGTTTCGCTATTTGAATCAGTTAGAGACCTTTAGTCCATTTGCTTTCGATTTTCCACATTCCTTTTGAGCTCCTCACTTCTTTCCGGCTTCGCATTTCTTAGCCTTAGACCTCATAATGAATAAGGTTGATGCACTACTTCGCACTCCGTTTTCGCAGCTGCCGCTGGAACAAAAATTAGAGGTACAACGTCTTGGGCCTTATCAACCAAAAAATTGTTCACTGGAACAATCCCATGACGGAGGAAAGCGTCGGCGTACATTCTGCGCAGAAACTTGGTATAAAAAACACGAATGGTTGTGTTACAGCGAGGACAAAAATGCACTTTTTTGTTTTTATTGCCTACTTTTTGCTACCGCCCGTAACTCACGTTGGTCTAAATTTGGTTTTAGAGATCTTAAACATCTTTCCGAGCGTGCCAGGGATCATCAATCTTCTATGGAGCATCTGGACAATGCAGTAAAATACCGAACATTCGGAAATGTTAATATTGCAGCACAGTTGGATGAAGGACGCGCGGTTTCTATTCGTCGGCACAACCAAAACGTCGAGAAAAACCGCCATGTTCTCGGTCGATTGATAGATGTTTTGAAGTTCATTGGTTGTCACGAGCTGTCCCTCCGTGGGCACGATGCTCTTCTAATAGAGGGGTATTTTTGGATATGGTGGAATACACCGCATCCCTAGATACAGTATTGAGAGATCATCTTGATGCCGCAACTGTTTCGAAAGGGACATCTAAGGATATCCAAAATGATTTGCTCGACTCAATGTATAAAATTTATTTACAACATTTGGCTCTGGAAATTGAGAATTGCCAGTTCCTTTCGATTCAGTCTGACGAGACAACTGACATCACGTGCGTTTCCCAACTGGCTGTGATTTTTCGGTTTGTGAAAGATGGTAAACCTACCGAGAGATTTCACAGCTTTGTAACAATCGTTGATCGCACGGCTTGCGGAATATCGGCTGTACTGAAAGAAGTGTTACAGCCTTACAACGCGAAGTCAAAATTGATAGCTCAAACTTATGACGGCGCGGCAGTCATGAGTGGGTCGAAACATGGTGTTCAAGTTTATATAAAAGAAGATTTTCCTCATGCGCATTTTTTACATTGTTATGCACACCAATTTAACCTCGTTAATAAAAATATGTGTCTTGATACCGCTCTCGTCCGTATATTTTTTGCAAATGTTTCGGGGTTTTCTTCATTTTTTACCGTTTCGCCGAAGCGCTCTGACCTCCTTCGCCAGATATGTAGCCGCCGTCTCCCAGCTTGTGCACCAACACGTTGGAACTTCCAATCACGCGTGGTGAAGGGCGTGTCCGAAATTAGGTCTGAGCTCATTGAGTGTTTCAATGGCATTCAGAGCTCTCCGGTTTGGGACGAACGCTCTGTGAGGGAGGCGTCAAGTCTAAAGCGTCTGCTAGAAGATGGTGAGTTTTCATTTTTTCTCGCTTTTTTCTCCACAATATTCTATCACGTGGATGTATTATACGGCGCATTGCTGTCAAGGCTAATGGATGGAGCGTCTGTGCAGTCGTGTATTTCAGACTTCTGCGATGCTGTATCTCGTATCCGGGAAACAATAAAATACGACGACACATGGAGTGCTTCTTTATGCCGCGGGCAAACAACGCAGCGTTTGATTTTGTCTGCAAAGGAATGCTGTGACATTCTGGTGAATCAAATAGGCGATCGTCTGCGCACTGAACACCTTGCCGCGTTCTCTTTGATGAACCCCAAAAATTTTTCAAAATTTGCACGTCAATTTCCCATCCATTTGTTGGCTACTGTCTCCAAATTTTACCCCATGATATACGTGGGTAAATTGGAAAATGAATTGCGATGTATATACACCAATCAAACTTTTTTGAACATCACATCAACTTGCGCGCTCTATGGGTTCCTCATAGATAACACTCTAGTAACTACCTTTGCGGCGTCTGCAAAATTTCTGGACATCATTTTGACGGTTCCATTACATTTGAACCCACGACAATTGCACCTGCATGCCATTGCACCTATGGAATTTTTTTTGGTTTTACGGATATTTGTACCCATACTAACCTAACTCATGGGTTTTAGCACCCGCATATTGATTCAACCCGCGGATATACACATGGGTTCAAATGTAAATGGTATCAAATGTACGGTCACCATTTTGACGACGCCTATTTCTTCCGCCGACGCAG